CGAGGACGGTGGCAAGAAATTTAAATTTGAGGGCCTAAATAAATAAATGAGGAACTGTGCTCATGGGTTGGAAGACTTTATTATAAAAATGTCAACTCCTTCCAAATTAGATTCTATGCAACCTTATATTTGTTGTTATTGAAACGGCAGGCTGATTCTAAAGTTTATGTGGAAATACAGAGTGCCAATAATAGCCAAAACAATCTTGAAGAACCAAGCAGAGAGAATTTCACCACCTGATTGAAGAGTTAATGTAAAGCAAGGGTAATTAAGGCAATGTGGTAGAGGCAAAAGGATCAACAAGTAGATCAGTGGAACAGAGTGAGCCCAGAAACAGACCCATACATATATGGATACTTGAGTAGAGTCTTAATCCTTACTGCACACCATTCACAGAAGATCCATTCCAGATGCAGTGCAGATTCAAATGTGAAAAGTTAAAACAATGAAACTTCTAGAAGGTAACAGGAGAATAGCTTCATGACTTTGGGATTGGCAAAGGTTTCTTAAATGGAACACAAAAAGCATTAAGCATAAAGCAAAAGATTCATAAGTTGGATTACAAAAAAACTAATTAAGACAATTTTAAGAGTGTGGAAAGGCAAGCCATAGAGAAGGGGAAAATATTTTTAATACATATATCTGACAATATATCCAGAATACATATAGAACTCAGGGCTAGCCCATGGCTCAGTTGGGAGAGTGTGGTGCTGACAACACCAAGTCAAGGGTTAAGAGCCCCTTACCAGTCATCTTTTTTTAAAAAAAGAACTCATACAAGGCAACAAAGACAAAACGGGGGAATAAAAAAAATGGTTAAGATACGTAAATGGTCATATCTCAAAGATGGTATTTGAATGACCTATGAACAATGAAGAGGTGTTCAACTTCATTAGTAATCATGGACATGGAAATTAAAACCTCAGTGAGATATCAGCACTCACACCATTAGAATTGCTGAAATAAAAATTGCTAACAGTGTCAACACCAAGTATGGGTGTGATGTGGAACAAGGGGACTTTTCATGCATGGATGGTGATAGTGTAAGTTAATAACAACTACTTTCAAAGTTGTTTGGCATTATTAACTAAAGCTGAACATAAACATAGTGTATAATACAGCCATTTCACTTCTTGGCAAAGGGCTATTAGCTTAGCAAAACCCTTTCCCCTCTTCATGAAAATTTGAATTCTATTAACTTATTAGCTCAGTTCTCCTCGTAACCTAAGAGTAAAATATCAACTAAATTTCTAGGCAACACTGCATATGATAAAAATGACCCCAGCTGGTAAGTTTCATATGGACTATGAAGAACTATAAATGAATTATACATAACCAATAGGGATACCATACTTGGGGTTTCCTTGAATGTGGCAAAGCATTTCTTTTGCAGGGCCCCTAGAAACTATGCCCAGAGGGTTGTTACAAAAGATATTGGCTTCCATGGGGCATGAAGCTTCTAAACCAAGGCACCTCCGTCCCCTATTCATTGTGAGTCTTGTCTTACATCTGAGCTGCCATCTGGGGAGAAGATACCTTCAGATGGCTACGTGTACACTGCTGTCAGGACTCCCACTGAAGAGGGTTACTGCCTTGACGGCAATTTGTGATTCCTGTCTTTTTTCTAGCCCAGACTGTTCTGCAGAACTCCAGACTCCAGCTGCTGATTCCACATTTCTACTTTGTCTAATAGTCATTTCCAGAACCGAACTCTTGATTTTTGATCCCTAAACCTTTTCTTTCTATAGTCTTCCCCATTTCAGTTAGTGGTTCCTCTATTCTAGTTGCTCAAATCAAAAACTTTGATTCCTCTCCTCTCTTATACAGTTGACCTCCCCCCTTTATTGAGTTTCAGTTACCCATGGTCAACTGCGGTCTGAAAATAATAAATGGAAAATTCCAGAAATAAACAATTCATGAATTTTAAAGTGCACACCATTCTGAGTAGCATGATGAAATCTCACACCGTCCTGCTTTGTCCCACCCAGGACATAAATCATCCCTTTGTCCAGCATATCCATTCCACATATGCTGCTCCCCCATTAGTCACTTAATAGTTGTCTGGGTATCAGATAGATTGTTGTGTAATCACAGTGCTGTATTCAAGTAAACCTTATTTTACTTAGTTATGGCCTCAAAACAGAAGAGTAGTGATGCTGGTGTATTGTTATAATTGTTCTATTTTATTATTAGTTATTGTTAATCTCTTACTGTATCTAATTACAAATTACACTTTTGCCATAGGTATGTATGAGGGTACTTCAAAAAGTTCATGGAAAAATGAAATTAAAAGATAGTACAGGGCTGGCCAGTTAGCTCAGTTGGTTAGAGCATGGTGTTGTAATACCAAGGTCAAGGGTTGGGATCCCCATACTGGCCAGCTGCCAAAACAAAAACAAAAACAAACACAAGGTAATACAAATCTTGTCCATGGACTTTTTTTTATAGGAAAAAAACATAGTATATATATATGGTTCGGCACTATCCACAGGCATCCACTAGGGGTCTTGGAATGTACGTATACCCTGCAGATAAGGGGGGACTACTGAACTTCACATTCAGTCCATTAACAACTTTGTTGGCTCCTCCTCCTGAACCTGACCGTTTTCACTTCTTTCTCCTTTATCCAAGCCATTATCAGTTCTCTCCTAGACTTCCATAATAGCTTCTTAAGGGGGTCTCCCTCCTTTAATTTTTTTCCTTCTGTAGTCTGTAATCCGTGCTACAGCCTGAACAATCCCTCTAATTTATAGGTCAATCAGATCATATTACTATGCCCTAAAACCCCTAAAGCATTTTTCTCACTGATTAAACTCCCAAGCCCCCTTAACTGTGAACAAAACATAGAAAGTACCTGCTTTCTGATCTCTTCTTTTTTTTTCTTTCTCGCTGACCTCTTCTACTACTTTTGCTTCTTGCTAACTTTACTTAGGCCACAGTGACCTCCTTGCTGTGACTAAAATACTCAAACAGTGTGCCTGGCTGAGGACTTTTGCATTTGCTATTCTTTCTGCATGGAACATTCACTTTTTGTGGATATTCATTTTCCTTGTCCCCCTCCCCTATGCAGAGTAGCACCTCACCCCCATCACTGTCCAGTTCCTTTTACCCTAGCTTATTGCCTGATGTATTTATTTGATTATTTGAAAATTATTTTTCTCTCGATTATAAAATGTGAACTTGAGGGCAAGGAGTTTGCCTTTTTGTTCACTGCTGCCTTGATCAGTGCCTACTAGCATATAGTAGGCACTCAGAAAAAAGAAATGTGTGAAAACTTTCAAGAACCGAAGGATACGAGTTTCTAGATTGAAGAAAACCTATCAAATACCCAGTGCCATGGATGGAAAGATAATCCACAGAAGGGCAATTTCAGAATCCTGGGAATAAACAAAAAATCCAAGGCTTTTAGAGAGGAAAAAAATGAGGCCATAATCAAAGAACTGGGAATTTGAATAATCATATATTTCTCATCAGTGTTATTGGAAGCTACTGTACCAGCGCCTTTAAAAGGCTGAGGAGAAATGATATCCAAAGTAATGTAAAATAAAGACATTTCAGCATGCAGTTTTTCAAAACATTTACGAACCATGCATGTTTTCTCATAAAACTCCTGGAGGATGTGCTTAAACAAAATCAGGGAATACACCAAGACAGAGAAAGATAAAGAATACAATGATTAATGAATCATCATAAGGGAAAACAGGGGACATGGGCTGGGGACGGGGTTTTTTCCTCTGGAGAAATCAGTTATAATCACATGAATTTGCTTCCAAAACATCCCAGTTTGCTGTATGAGTGAGTGCAAGGATTGGCAAGACTTGAGATTTCACCCAGCTTCCCTGATAAGTCGATTGGTTGCTACTCTTAGGGAAATCAATCAGCATCAGTTAAGTGTACAGTTACCCCTTGATGTCCATGGGGGATTGGTTCCAGGATCCCCTGCAGATACCAAACTCCAAGGATGCTGAAGTCCCGGATATAAGATGGCGCAGTATTTACATATAACCTACACACATTCTCCAATATTCATTAAATCATCTCTAGATTACTTACAATACCTAATACAATGTAAATGCTATGTAAATAGTTGTTATACTTTTTTTTTTTTTTAAAGGTGACCGGTAAGGGGATCTTAACCCTTGACTTGGTGTTGTCAGCACCACGCTCTCTGAAGTGAGCTAACCGGCCATCCCTATATAGGGATCCAAACCCGTGGCCTTGGTGTTATCAGCACCACACACTCCCAAGTGAGCCACGGGCTGGCCCTATACTGTATTTTTAATTTGTGTTATTTTTATTGTATTGTTGTTATTATTTTTTAAATATTTTCAATTTGAGGTTGGTTGAATTCGCAGATGGGAACCCGCTAATACAGAGGAACAACTGTAATATTCAGCCCTTACCTGTGAATAACAATTCTTTTGTGTGTTTTCTAGTTTAAGACATACTAAATCTGTTGTGTAAAATGGATCTTATGGTAGATGTGTCAAGTCAAGTGTTTTAAAGGAATGGTGGTAATAGATATGCACAGAAACTAGACTCTCTGCAACTCTCCTTCATGAAGCTGATCTATGAAAGCAATGTCGATTGTGAAATCTGAAACTAAACCTACCAATCTGCATTAGATGTTTTGGTTTAAGTAGAAGTTAGCTTATCCAATTTATTTATATTTTCTCTGAAAACCTTATCAGGGATTTTAATTTTTTTCTTGACTTTTTAATGATTTTTAATTCATAGCTTTTAAAAGTCATCTTTTAGGGAAAAAAATGTACGTCTAAATGGTAGTGCTTTTATTTTGTCTGCATATTTTTCACTTTTATCTGTGAATGTGATGGCATTTTATCTTACTTTCCGTTTGCTACCTGACATGTGAATATGCTTTATCTGACTCTGTATAATTGGCTCTTGTCATTTAAAGTATCCAATGATGATAAATTTCATACTTTTCTAAGTGGAGTTTTTTTTTTTTCTTTGTTTTGTTTTTTTCCATTTGTACCTAGTTATTGTGGAATTATAAGCTGAACCTAACTACAGATCCCAAATTTGAATCTGTGGCCAGAGAGGTTTGCAAATCTACCATATCAGAGGTAAGTTGTGGAAGAATTTTGTGAATATTCAGTGACTTAGAAGAGAAAATTATATCTGTTGACCAGAACAGTCATTAAAAAATGAATGACTCAATTACTTTTCTTGGAATTTACATTTATCTTGGTTGAGATATAGAAAAGGGGATGTAATTAGACTTCCTTTTGTTAACGTACACCTATACTTATAATAGGATGCTATTGAATGAGACAGTTGTGAGCACCACGCTCAGCCAGTGAGCCAACCGGCCATTTCTATGTAGGATCTGAACCCGTGGCCTTGGTGTTATCAGCACCACACTCTCCTGAGTGAACCACGGGCCGGCCCTGAATGAGACAGGTGGACATTGGGTTCTGTTGGTCCCCAAACAGTGAGTCCAGTTGCTGAGGTCATCAGTGCTCTCTTGCACATTGTACAACCTGCTGTATCTGATGCATATCAGAATGGTTTCACCATGAGGCCTATAAACATCCGAAGTGTTTTGGCTATGCAGTTGGATCAATTGAACCACAGAGGCATATACTTCAAATAATAGGAGTTAGTGTTAAAAAGGTGAATGATGTGATTGTGTATATTGTAGTAATTTGATATTGGATATAAAGACAAAAACATGTAAATGTATATAGCACTGTACAGATGATAGTGGGAGAAATTTTTGAATTATTTATCTTGGCTGAGTGCAAACAACAGATAATATCAGTGAAAATTGTGGTATTTAAAATTTTTTTTCATTTTTAGAGTTTTTTAAAATCAGTAATAGAAACTCCAGAAAACCAGATATTTCTGCATACTGAAGTATGAAAATCATAGAGATTCTGTGCTCTCCAGAAGTTGCTATTTTCCACCCCAAAGTTAATAGTCACAGATCTCGCGATATATTAATCTGTTCTCCAGGTGTCCCTATTGATGATTTAAGTCAGGGCCACTTTCTCCACAGCTCTTAAGGAAGACCTCATCCCACCCAAATAAGCAGTCACCTTGTGTTCCTCACTTATGTTGTCATGATCGGGTCTTGTAGAACTTGCTTTCTTAAACCTTTTGATACTGGAGCAGATATGTTTTATTCTTTTAGAATAATGACCTTCATATCTACCTTGGGGCTTCAGAATAGAATGGCATGTCTTTGAAAAATTGATCTTCACCTCCTACCTTTAATATTCTACATCTCAAATTCCCTTAGTTAGCTATATGACTTAACCTGTAACTTTAAAATATCAAGGGCAGAGGTGTTTGCTTAATAACAAAAAGAAATAGTAACAAACAAATGATTCCTAGGCTTGAACTTTAAATGTTTGTGTATTCCCACAATATTATGGAACTATCCAAGTATAAGTAGGTTTTTTTAAAAGACACATTGGGATATATATACAGTACACATGTTTGTTTCACCCCGTTTTGATTCAGTGTTAAATACATACCAATTTGATTGCCGTGTTGAAATTTAGTTCAGAGTATACACGTATTCACCAAAATAATTTCACTCTTTGCATGAGGCTGGCTTCCTTATAATGTATGTGTAATTATGGTCCTCTGTGACCCTTTGGGGTGTTGTGGTTCTGTGAAAAATTTGAGTAACGAGAACACTTCTCTCTCTCTATGGGGAGTCAGGAAAATTAAGTATCAGGAAGAACATAGTTACCAGCAAGACATTTTATTCTACATCTCTCTTCTATCTTCCTTCTTAATTTTGGAATCCTATTTCCAGGGAGAAAAACAGCATCACAAAAATACCTGCAAACTGCAAACCAAATGTATTTACTTTCTTTTTGTTTTTTTTTTGTCTTTTGTCTTTTTCCGTGTCCGGCAACGGCTCGCAACCCTCAGTGTTGCCCCCGTACCGGGCCGGGGACCGGCAACGGGATCGCAACCCTCGGTGTTGCTCCCGCGCCTCGCTCAGCCAGTGAGTGGGAACCGCTCTGTATGTGGGATCCGAACCCTCGGGTGGGAGCGCCGCTGCGCTTCCCAAGTGGCGCACTTATCCAGTGCGCCACCGGGCCGGCCCCAAATGTATTTACTTTCTACAATTGAGCTATTTAACTGCCTGCTTTCCTTCTGTCTCCTGTCAAAAAATAGAGTGACTGCAGCATTGTTCTAATGGTACCTTATGAATCTGCTTCTCAGGCACTTCAGAGTTACTCCCACTCTTAAATATGTTGATGATTTAATGCTTTTCGCTGTTAATCTTAGAAGTTTAATAAGATAGAAGGAAAAGATGCTTCAACAGGATTGTTGAAGAAAAACATAAACTTCTTATTTAAACATTACACCCTATTTAAATTAGAGGTGAACTGAAATACAGTGTTTTGGTAAAATCTTAAGTGACTGAAGCTACATATACATATACTTTCTTATTGGGACTCTGATTAAAAATGTGCTCTTGGTTTTCAGATTTTTTAACTGTTGATTGCCCAATATTAGGGCCTGTGTGACTGCTTCTCTACTTTGTTTTAAAACCAAGGTGTCTGCCAGTAGTCCTGTTTTTTATACAGGTTTTTTTTCCCTATGGTTGAATTACAAATGCTGGGATTTTCAAGCAGCTATTCCTCTTTTCACTTTTCAAACTTAACTCTTTTGCTGAAAAAAAACCTTTTCCTGGAAATACACTCATGACCCTCTTTTTAGGCATCACAAAAAAGTGCTCAAGGTTAAGCTGAAAGAATTGCATTCATCTTGACTGTTGAAAATCTCTGCGCCCTCTGAATCCAGTGTGAGACTATGTACTTAAATTCCCAAGTTTGCTTCTTTAAAAGTAAGCATGATTTTCTCTCTTGAACTGAGTTTTTTACTTGGTCTAGATTTAATACTGGTGTTGGACATGAAGCAACTAGCTCAGTTACCTATAGGATAATTAGTATGTGGTATGTCCTTTACCCACAGTCTTTTGAAAAAGGAGATAGTATTTGTTCTGCCTTATGTGCATACTTATGATAGATGGTGTGGTAGGGGAGAATGGTCTTTATTGGTTTTAAACGAATAAAACTCCTTTCTCATTTATATTCGGAATAAACATTTATATCTAGCTCTTTCTCTTGTCAGAACTGCCACTTCTGTTTGTTTTTAATTTCCCCAAATGCATTAGGCTTTTTCCAAACAAGCTTCTCTGCTTTGTAATTCAAGTTTATAACCCTATAAATAGATTTTACTTTTTCGTGCCTGAATTTCAGCATTTTGGGGCTAGTTTGCTTTATTAGCATTTGTGGTTTGGGGTGAACTTTGCAAGAACACTAACCATGTTGAATCTGTCTGCTTGATCCACTTGATCATATATCTAAACCACTCAAAATAGGTTTGCAGTGGCCTTCCACTTCCCAAGCTTCTTGCCCGAATGCACTGAACACCATTTTAAATATGTTTCTGTTCCAGACCACAGCAATTAAGCTTGGATTCTTCTGATTTCAAAAACACATGTACAAATCTGTAGTTAATTCAGAACACATTAATGTCATGTTAAGAAGTGATATTATGCTCTCCCTCCCCTCTCCTCTCGGCCATTAGGTTTATCTAATGATAATACTTGCTGTGTATCTTGGCTTGGGATGTACAGCTAGACATCAGTTCTGCACCTGTTTTCCAGACCTACTCCCTAGATTCATCTCCTCACTATCCACTGCATTCTTTGAGTGGTTGAAAAGGACTTCTGAATAGGACCATGCTAAAGCTGTAGATGCAAAAAGCTTTTTTTACTCCATTTAGAAATGAGTTCTACCTAAGTATTTGAATATGTTTCCGAGATCAGACAAGATCGGTCGTGTTCAGCCTGGAATGGTCGTAGAGAGAAATGAGTTCTACCTAAGTATTTGAATATGTATGTATTTTCTTGCAAAACACATTAATCAGCATTTCTTAGAAGGCACAACAATCTCTATTTCTTTAAAATGAAGGTATTTCGGGGCTGGCCCGGTGGCGCACTGCGCTAGTGCGCCGCTTGGGGAGGCGTGGCGGCGCTCCCGTCGAGGGTTCGGATCCCACATACAGACCGGTTCCCGCTCACTGGCTGAGCGAGGCGCGGGGGCAACACCGAGGGTTGCGAACCGTTGCCGGACATGGAAAAAGACAAAAAAAATAAAATAAAATAAAATAAAATAAAATGAAGGTATTTCTAAATGTTTTCCTTTTTCCCTCACAAGTAAAGAGATGGGAAATCAACAGGAAAATATCTGACATTTTCTCTTTCATAAAGGTTGTTTGATATGAGCATAGAATACTTGTGTAAAACAGTCGCTTTCTTTTGAGCAGATTAAAGAATGTGCTGATGAGCCAGTTGGAAAAGGTTACATGGTTTCTTGCTTGGTGGATCACCGAGGCAACATCACTGAGTATCAGTGTCACCAGTACATTACCAAGATGACTGCCATCATTTTCAGTGATTACCGTTTAATCTGTGGCTTCATGGATGACTGCAAAAATGACATCAACATCCTGAAATGCGGCAGCATTCGGCTTGGAGAAAAGGTATCTACTACATTGGCTTCACCAAAGGGTCTTAAAAATTTGGTGAATGGTTAGCTCACTTGGTTAGAGCATGGTGCTGATAGCACCAAGGTCAGTGGTTCAGATCCCCTTACTGGCCAGCCGCCAAAAAAAAAAAAAAAAAAAAATTTTAGTGAATGGAAAGCTTTGTATAATTGGCATGGGAAAAGGTTAGGGCTAAAGATTACTTTAAAGCTGAAATTAAATAAACTTGCTCAGACAGCTGTAAGATCTAAGGCTAGTTGACCTGTGAATGCATTGCATATGTTTGTAACAAAATGTTTCATTATCGTATGGGGAGGCAGAGGAATTAACATCTGCTAATTGTCGTGTTATCATCAAAATATCAGACCAGTTGCTGGTTACCTATAATGTGTCTCTGGGGAAAGAGAAAACTGAATTCTCTAATTTTTCTCTGCATATACCTCACCGTTACCATAAAAAAATTACTTAGCAAGCACAGTGGTTGCTCTCTATCTGTAAAATGAGGTATTTAAATATTAGAAAATTTAGAAATATGTAAAGGTACTGTTAGCTTGTCAGAGAAAGATGCTCTAAAAATGTGATGTATCATCTTCATCTCAGACGAACTGATTTTAGTAAAAACAGGAAAAAAAATAACTACCTAGCTAGTGTCTTCTTTCTTAATTATATCTAATCCTGTTTTGGAGCTTATTAGACTGGTGAACAGAAGGTCACAATGGAGGTTTGGCCACGTTTATTCTGAATTTGTTTGCTCAGGAGGGATTAAAGAAATTCCTGAAAACTAATGAGTGGATGCTGTTTAGGAAATATGATGGAAAATAAAACTCATTTGTCTCTTTGCCCTCCAGTTGTTCTTGGTTTGCAGGCATCTGTCATTGACAAAAGGAGCATGGTGTTAAGATCCTGGAACTGAGTGCACCAGTTCAAATGAAGGGTTTCTTGCTGGTTATTGTCTGGCTGTCACCAAAGCCCTGTTGTCTTTTCCTTCATACCAAATCAGGGCCCTGTCCCTTTTATAGGGTACCTCTGAGTTGGTCTTGAAAGCTCTGTGAGCGTGGAATAAAACTTTCAGACAACTAAAGAAAGACCAATTCTAATAAAGGTGGCAACTTTTTCCTTCCCAGCAGACTCTAGAAATGGCACAAAAGAACTTAAGTCACGCTGATGAGTCAGGAATCTCCTCTGGCTTTATTTAGGTTGTTGAAAATTATATACATTTTCAAACCTCACTCCTTTAAAAATCTCCACATAGAGATCCAAACATACTTTTCAGGAGTCAGCAGTGACGCTTTTTCACATTTCTCATTAGTGGTCCACATGTAAAATAGACCATTACAGTTTCCTCTTGTAATAGTTCTTGCCTACTGACCATCAAGCTAATAGCTGATTAGCTTCTCCCTAGCTCTCTAAATTGTCAGTATAAAACCTGCTTTCAACTACATGAGTTACTAAGTTTGCAGTCACTGAAGTGATTGCAGAAAATAGAAATAGTACTGCAGGAGCCTAAAGACATGATAGGATTGTTTATTCAACTTTGATAAAATAACAAAAAATGTTTCTGTGGATCAAAGATAAAAATGACAAAAATGATATGTATACCATTTGGATGAAATTTCTGTTTATACCAGATCACCCTGCTGGCATCAAAGGCTTTCTTGTGTTTTGTGGACAGTGAGATGGACTCATGTCTGAAAAAGCATGTTCCTTCTTATATAATTTGCTGTAGTGTTACAGCCAAGTTTAGAAATGGGAGAGCATGTCCTCAGCTCTTCTTTTGCCTTTTCTAACTATAGTTTGCTTCTCTGAAGCCAGTTATTTAGATATTAAAATTATTCTGAAAGTTAATGAATTAGCTTCGGACCACAGAAGAGAACAGGATCATCAATTTCAAAATTTCTGCCACTGGAGCTTGAAAACTCTTCTATGACTGGCTTTGAACTGACCTCCAGCAGTCAGAGGAGAGGAGTCATGGTTAATCTGTTAGTACCCCACCTCTGTATGAATATATGAAGGTCATAATTTTAAAACTTTAATGATTTTTCCCAAAATGTTAGTTAAATGTTAGAACAATGAACATGTGTTAATAAATCCTTTAGAATTTTCTAGATAAATGATGTCAAAATGAAAGGGCAGATTTCTAAAAGTAAACGTGGAAAAGATTTACATCATCTGAAGAAAAAGTAGAATGTGGCCTCCAATTCAGGAACTTAATTATAGACATGTGCCACAGTGTTACTACTTTTACACTTTTCTATCAGTAGTTATACCATTTTATCATTCCCTGCTTTTAACAATTACTTTGAGTAATTCAGACATTCTTTATGTAGTGAGGTAGATCACAGAAGAGACTAGAAACATTTGAAATAGAGAATGGTTTATAGCAGAGATGAAAATTGAGTTCTTGCCTACTCTTTTGAAATTAGTGTTATCCTTCTCTGTTTTTTTGTTTGTTTGTTTGGTTGGTTTTTTTAAGGACAGGAATATAGGGAAGAAAAAATACTACCTATCAAACTTGTAAAAACTGATCAAGATACTGGCAGTAGTTTTCAGGCAGATGTTTTTCTCATCACAATAGTTAATAAAAATTTATTTTAAGTCCATTTACAGAGTCACTGTTATTTATATGTGAAGCCTGTTTATTAATAACTTTTTTTAACCTAAGTAATTTTATTTTCATTATTTTATGAAGATAACGTACAGGTGTATAGTTCACCTCACTTTCATTCATATTCAGTAATTAGCCATACAGTCTTCATTGTCAAATATTTGTTGACATTTCAATTATATGACTCAAATGCGTGAAACCAAAGACCTTAGGGACTGCGGAACACCTGAAAAATCTTTATTTGAAAAAATTTTCTATCTGAAAGTTATGATGAATGAAAACATCTAGTAGAAGTGGTGTTATGACCTAATACCAATGTGCGTACTACAGTTGTTATAATGAAAATGAAATCTTAGATTCCTTATGGGATTCTCATACCATCATGATGTACCTTAAATCTAACGAGAAGTCAGTGAAACCTTTAAGAAATATAATTGCCCTAAATAGTTAATCTTCCTAGTGGCATATTTAAAACAATTATAAACCCAAAATATGCAGGGAAGCACTTAGCAGACACATTACATGGAAGTCATTTCTTTACTTTGTGCCAGGATTAAAGGTTGAACTTCAATCAAGAGTCAACTATCACAGTATCATTTTTAACCTCTTTTCTGATGCTTTAGAACAGTGATTCTCGGTATGATCCATAATCTGTCAGATCTTACAATGAAAAAATGTAAGTCCTTTCTTTTGATTCTTACAGGAGTACCTCAGAAAGTTGGTGGAAAAATAAAATTAAAAAATAGTTTTTTTTCCCCTTTTTGTCTTTTTTCGTGACCGGTAACGGGATCGCAACCCTCGGTGTCGCGCCCACACCGCGCTCAACCAGTGAGCGGACCGGTCTCAATATGGGATCCGAATCCTCGGCGGGAGCGCCACCGCGCTCCCAAGCGCCGCACTCCACCGAGTGCGCCTCCAGGCCGGCCCCCAAAATAATATTTTTGAAGTACGCTCGTATAGGCAGATGTGTGGCTCTATAGATTTTTTATACATTGTTATATATGATTAAAATCTAATTTTTTAAAACAATTGGTAGAAAAAGGCTAATTGCTAGCAGCTATATGAATAATAACAAGCTACTAAAATTTGGAATAAGACATTATTTTATAACATTTATAATAATCTGTTGTATACTGTAAATAGTATGTGATGATATGTTTCTGTTCAAATCTTTATCATCATAGATTTATTTGTCCTCGGGAAGTAGAATTGGGTAGACCTTGCCTAAGTGGCCAAAGTCAGAAAAACTTGAGTGTCACTCATAAATTAGGAAGAAAAAAATAAGCCTTATTCTGGATTTCTGTGGCGTGTATACTTTTCTCTCTGTCCTTATCTTTTTGTCATTCCTCTCTTAGAGTTTTATTCATCTGTTGAGAATTGCTCTCTAAAAAAACCTTTCAGGGCCGAGCCCGTGGCGCACTCGGCAGAGTGCGGCGTTGGGAGCGCAGCAGCGCTCCCGCCGCGGGTTCAGATCCTATATAGGGATGACCGGTGTGCTCACAGCGCTCACTGGCTGAGCGCGGTGCGGCCGGTCTCACAAAGGACAAAAATAAAAATAAAAAAAATAAAAAATAAACCTTTCAGTCATCCCAGATTTCTAAGCATTGGGTAGACTCATACAGCTAGTGAAAAAAGTCAAGGTACAGATAGAGAATAGGAAGGCACTACTAGAATCTCCTAGTGTAGTGTGCTTCTAAATCAGTTTTGGGTCAGGAAATCTTCTGAAAATTTAATAAAAGCTATGAACCCTCCTCAGAAAAATATACAAAACCTATATACAAATTTTAGGCATTTCCTAGAACCAACCCTCACCATCCCCACCCTACCCAAATTAACCCCAGGTCTAAAAAAATAAATGATGGACTGTTAGCTAGGTGCCTTATGTTCTGCAACTCAGGTGAGCTGCTTAACTCCTCTAAGGCCTTTGTTTATTCTTTTGCACAGTAGATATCAAAGCCCTATCCTTTCTTCATAGGTGTGTTAGGAGAAAATATGAAAGTTCTCATGGAACTGATAACACCAGGGTCAAGGGTTTGGATCCTGTACTGGCCAGCTGCCACCCCACCCCACCCCCAAAATTCATGGAAACACTTGGAAATTAATGTGCTATAGGACAAATCCTATTACAGTAAAATAGAAAAGATATATACTTATGTACATTCTTTTGTTAAGTTGGAATTTTGCCCAAAGTAGATGTTTCCCTATGTGGTTTTAGGAATCTTTATTATATACAGATGGTTTCATAGACATATTTTTTACTATAACAAGATTGTGTGTATGTATGTATATAAATAAGTGCTAGCACTGTATTTTTAGCTGCTTTGGTTTGCTATATTAATGGTTATACTTCTCAAGTTGTTGAAGCGTATCTTATGAATATAGAAGATTAGAACTCTTTAACAGAAAATATTTAGGGGAAGTTCCTTATATTTTGGATGAATGAATGCTTGTGGTTGCTATGGGGTTGATGAAATGTGCAATTGAAGATAATTGGATGCTCTTAGGAAAATTGACAAAAGCAGTTGTATAAACAGTGGTAATCTTGTTAAATTGTGTTAAGATAAATCCAAAACATCAAAGTGAGTATTACATTACAAATTGTACATATTGGAGTGTTTGTGGACAGTATAGAGTATAAAAAGGAGAAAGTGATTCTCTATAACATCTTTTTTCAGTGGATTTTGTGGTTTGTTGTTTTATAACTTGACTGAAAGCACAATTATTTTGGAAATGCCTAGCTCTTAGCGATAAATGAATAGATTTCTGCAATGTTATTTCATTATTTACATGATCTGTGATCAGAGCATTGGGCTGATGTCATTTCTTATGAATTTTCTGACATTTTAAACTTTAAAAATTCATGTTTCTATTTCCAGTGCTAACTAAACTGTACTGAAATTTCCCAGGATCTCTGTTTCCATTTGTAGCATGCAAAATATTATATTCTAACCAAAGATTATTGAGGGCATTTTCCTTAACTTCCACAAAGTGATTGTTTCCTATTGATTTCTCAGTAGAACATCATTAAGCTAACTATATGTCAGGGGTTTCTTTTTTTGTTACTTTTTTTTTTTTTAACTAAATGATGTTTATTTGAAACCCATGTGGTACAAATTTTAAAATATTAGTGTGCTTGCTATTTTAGGATGCACATTCACAAGGTGAGGTGGTATCGTGCTTGGAGAAAGGCCTGGTGAAGGAAGCAGAAGAAAGAGATCCCAAGATTCAAGTCTCTGAACTCTGCAAGAAAGCCATTCTCCGGGTGGCTGAGCTGTCCTCAGATGACTTTCATTTAGACCGGCATTTATATTTCGCTTGCCGAGATGATCGAGAGCGTTTTTGTGAAAATGTGAGTCAGCTCAGAAGCTGTTTTTCTTTTCTTCCTTTTCTTTTAAAATATTTTTAATACTCTATTCCAAGGTAAAATAAACCATCACAAACCCTCACATGTAGAAAAGCCACTGAGATAGAAGATGGAATTGGTCCCAGGATAACAGAAAATGGTATTGGATGCTCAACATTGATGATTTAACATTTAGTTAGCAGTTGGCTTCTGACAATCTCCACACATTATTTTTTATACTTTATCTCACTTCTCAATTTCAGTTCTCAAAAGTCTGCTTTATCTATAGGAATCTTATTTTACCAGGGAATGCTATTCACATCTATTCAATGGCTAAATGCTAAGGTGAAGAAAACATTAGGCAGCTAATTTATTTATTATTTTTTTTTTTTCCTTTTTGTCTTTTTTACTGACCGGTAACGGGATCGCAACCCTCGGTGTCGCGCCCACACCGGGGACCGGCAACGGGATCGCAACCCTCGTTTTTTTTTTCTCCTTTTTGTCTTTTTTCCTGACCGGTAACGGGATCGCAACCCTCGGTGTCGCGCCCACACCGGGGACCGGCAACGGGATCGCAACCCTCGTTGTTGCACCCGCACCGCGCTCAGCCAGTGAGCGGGAACCGAACCGGTCTCCACATGGGATCCGAACCCTCGGCGGGAGCGCCGCCGCACTCCCAAGCGGCACACTCTCCAGTGCGCCACCGGGCCGGCCCATAGGCAGCTAATTTAAAACCGAGTCTTTGATTACTACCTGCTAACCCTATAGGACAACTTTATAACACTTTAAATAGAATAGTCTTCATCCTTACAACAAAGGACCGAGAGTGACTTGTATATACTTCCACTCTGCCCGCTGTTTTGAATTAACAGCTTTAACTATCAGAGCCACTGATTACAAGAGTTTTATCGACTCTAGCATAAAGTTGTAAGAAAAAGACACCCTGACACTTCTCTTGGGTTCCTAATTAACAATATATTTAAGAACAAATAATAACAGCCAAACATCATGGGAAAACTTTTTTCATCTTTACTGCACTCACTTTTCTTTTAAAAGGCTATTAAATTTTATAAATGGCTGAGCAATTTGTTTAAAGGTACTCAACATTATAATAACTTAATAGAAAGTTTTATATGAGATTGTGGATAATGCATAGCATGACTGTTTAGCTGATAGTGATAATAATAATGTATGTGTTCCATCTTATAGACACAGGCTGGTGAAGGCAGAGTGTATAAGTGCCTCTTTAACCATAAATTTGAAGAATCCATGAGTGAAAAGGTAGGTGTTACTTTGAAACAAACCAATATTTCATTCATTTCTTAAAAGCTTTCTCAAATTCTCTCAAACAATATTCTTATAATCTTATACCAAAATGTAAATGACTGATAAAGCTTAACCCTTTTCAGAGGTGAGATACTTGGGTTTAAGCAGAGAACTAAAGCATATTTGACTTAAACCCAGAAAAATGAAGCTCTGTTTGAGATTATCTAGATAATGGGAGGCCAGTTGGGGTTCAATTTGGGAAGTAAAATTAGATAATTTTATATCAGAATCACACTGAGGCCAGTCCAACACACTCAGGCAGTTTAAGCTAACCAAACCAGTGTGTTCATAGGTAATTAGCTATTTAATTTTTCAGCAGCTGTCACATTAAGCATTCTCAATATTGTTAGTCCTCTGTCCTTTTATGAATGCAAGAATCTTTTGAGACTTTCGGAAGTAATTAATTTAGCTGTCTTGTCATTTACTTTCCTGTGCAGCTGAAGAAATGTTTCTCAGTTTGGTTTCCTTATATCATTAACTATTAAATAATTGGATTTTAAAAAGTATAGAATAGATCATACAAAGTGTTATGTTAGTTGCTACTTTGATGCTGGTGAAATTTACATTAGGGATATGCTGACTAGGAAAAGGATGCTTTGTATCAAGTTAGTGTGTTAGGATCTACCAAATATTTATGTCTTTAGGATAGGTGCTATTATAGCAACAGTTAGCAATTAACTATAGAATTTCAGGGTTCCCCCACCCATTTATCCCTATCTCATGCCACACAGTTTAACACGCTTGTGCTAAATTGTAACCAAACTTAAAGATAGGCATTTTGGTAACGACCACAGTAGTTGGCATGCACTTGGCTATGAGTCTACATGCTTGTCTTAGAAGTGCATGTCAACAGCTTAGCCACATGAGTGGTCTTAACAGCTCTCTTGCTGTGCTCTTTCCTCAGTGTCGGGAAGCACTAACGACCCGCCAAAAGCTGATTGCCCAGGATTATAAAGTCAGCTATTCATTGGCCAAATCCTGTAAGAGTGATTTGAAGAAATACCGGTGCAATGTGGAAAATCTTCCTCGGTCCCGGGAGGCCAGGCTCTCTTACCTTCTAATGTGCCTGGAGTCAGCTGTGCACAGAGGTGAGAGTTCACTTCTTTATCCTTTTCATTCCTTTTTAGATTTACGCTCTAAAGTTCCTTCTACGTATAAATGTTAGTTTCCTTCTATATTTGCTCTTTTGAGTATTCTTAATTTTTAAAATGCGTATTATGTGGCATTTTTAGGCAAGTCAGGGTAGCATGATTTAGCGCATGAGCTTAGGATCAGAGAGTCTTAGCTTCAAACTATGGTTCTATCATTAAACTAACTGGCTGGATGGCTGGGTTTTTACGTGATTTTTTTTTTTTTTTTTTGGCAGCTGGCCGGTTCAAGGATTGAACCCTGAACCTTGGTGTTATCAGCACAATGCTTAAACTGATTTTCTATTTTAATTTGTTTATTTATTTATTTTTGGCAGCTGGCGGGTAAATGTGGTTGTGTTTTTACTTTTATTAATTAAAGAAAAAAAAATTTTAATCTATTTTAAGTTTTCTGGGTTGGCATTTGTACCTCGGAGAAGCAAGGGGAGTTATAGTGAATATTTGAAGTGTAGTCTTTTCCACAAGTTTTAATTGTATAGGCCAGTAAGGGTTGTTCTTTGGCTTTTATTGTTACCCCAATTGTTATCTTACTATAAGACTTCTGTTGGCAAAGCATTTGCATTATTAGTTCAGTAGTGTAAAATCTGTATAATGCAGAGCACTGACAGGATAAACCTTTGTCTTTGGAGTCTAAGCTCATTTTATGCTGCTGAAACTTTTGCTAAGTTCTAAGCTTTTCAGACTAGATATAAGCATGACTGGTATATTCTATTCCAGACAGAAATGTGTACTTTTAATATGTGGTGATTTCTGATCCTAATGTTCACTTTCCGTAATGTTATGACTCACATCCTAACTTAGGGCGACAAGTGAGCAGTGAGTGCCAGGGCGAGATGTTAGATTACCGACGCATGTTGATGGAAGATTTTTCTTTGAGCCCTGAGATCATCCTAAGCTGTCGGGGGGAGATTGAACACCACTGTTCTGGATTACATCGAAAAGGGCGAACCCTGCACTGTCTAATGAAAGTAGTTCGGGGAGAGAAGGGGAACCTTGGAATGAACTGCCAGCAGGCGGTAAGGAAAAAATTTTTACTGTCATTTTGAATGCCACATTTTATCAGCTGAAGAGGTTTTTCCTGACATTGTCCTAACTTGCTTTATCTGGATCATTTGTGACATGACAGTGAACGTTAGATACTAAAGACTAGATGTGGAATATTGTTTTTTTTCAGGTATATCTTAGTAAAAATTTGGAATTTGCTGCAGAGCAAAAGTTTGAGCTCATAACCAATAAAAAGAACTATATACTTAGCAATGGATAAAATGCATTGTTTGCAAGAGTTTCTAAAGGAAGAGTAACTTGCTATATTGGATTTATTAAACTCAAAATCAAGGTAAACCAGGTTCTGATAAATCAGGAAAGGTCCACCACCAAAAGAGAATTTGCCTGTTTTAATAGGTTTGATTGAGTTGAGGCTGAAAGAGAGTTAACACAAATTAAAATTTGTTCTAAGAGTTTCTTTTTATTATTAATATGCAACATGGCATGAATTTCTGGCCTGAAGGATCAAGAGAGCATGTCATTTTCAAAATCACACCATCTTTCTCATTAGACTAAGGTAACTATGCATGGGAAGGTCTTTATTTCTCCACCCCCAAACTTTACAGTCTATAAAGATAGTTGGAAAAAATTAGCATACTTTGCTTGGGAAGGTAAAGTTTTTCTTGATCCAAGGTTCATAAACAGTTGAGTAACTACAGATCAAGTGCATAATATAAGTTAACAAAATATTATAGATACAGTGCATCTGTTTCATTACCATTGTCTATCCATGTTTGCTATTTTTTAATAGATAAGAGCCTTTGAACAATTTAAAATAGCAAATACAACAGTGGTACCCTGTGCAGTGAACTTTCTTTTAGGAAGCACAAAAGATGGTTTAGCTATATATCCTAAATTAAAAAGTTGAGGCTCTCTCTTCAGCGAAACTTCAGAAAACCAAAATTAGTCTTTTATTTTGTAGTTGACATTTTTATTAAAAACTGAATATTATCTTGAATTTAGATTTCTTGCTAATCATGTAAAATCAGAATTTTACAGTCTGAAACAAGATTTTACTGTGTGAAACAAAATTTCCATAGAATTTTGATGTGGAGTAAAATTTCATTTTAGCTTCTGTCACCATGGTGGAAAAAATACACAAATGTAGCCTCTTCTCTGAAATACCGATCTGGGCTAAGCTCGAAGGAAGGCTTCTGAAATCTGTTGTGGTTTGAGTTTGTCACAGTGTAGTTCCTTAGTTGCCCTTGCTTGTGATTGCCCTAGGAAGCCTCTGTGCCAATGTATGTGCCTGCGCCCAGACCACAGATGAATCAGGAGACAGACTGTGTTTACATTTCATCCATAATGCCACATGGAAAGGTTGGGGTGTGGGGGGGTCAGGAATAAACCTATATTTTTACTGAGTCTACATGTGTAGTTTGGTGTACAGAAAAAAGAAATAGACTGTTTCAACTTTATTTGGAGGAATCTTGTTTACCTCCAGGGCTTTTGACATGTAGTTTGTTAAAAGAACTAGTGACTCAACTTGAAAGGTTAATATGTACCGCCCACGTCACCCTTTGTGCCAGAAGAAAAGTGCTTTCTAAATCTAGAGGTCAGCCACAGAGAGTGAAATATTTGGCTTTGCCCACATTAAATTTAGCCAAGTGGCAAAGAAACACTTTATTTTGATTTTTATGGACCCATGGTTTTTAGCTTTTGCTCAGAAAAATTGAAGGCATGAATGATGCAAATGGAGAAATGTTTCCTTTGTCTTCTACTACATTATTTATTCTTAGTGAAATTGGGAAAAGCTTGAAATAATTTATTTTGAGCAAGTATCTTTTCTACTTTCTTTTTCAAAGTTTTCTTCCTTGATACAGCAGACTGTGATACCTAATCTGTCGTTGACCATTAATTTTCCCTGTTTTCGGTTAGATGGTGCTTTGATTCAGTGATCACTTAACAAATAGTAAACTGTAAAGAATAAGGATAATTACTGTCTTAATGAGTACATACTCTTCCAATGTACCATAATCATGAACTATTAAATACTCTTCCATTATGGCTGAACGAGTCTGGGCCCAGACTCTCCTAGGCCAAAGATGACCGCCCACCGTATTCTCGAGACTAATTATTTCTCTGACGCATTTCGCCAGGATTTCCTAAGCGTGTCAGGGACTGGAATAGATGTATAATCATGTAGTAATTCATGATCCACACTACTGTCTCTGAATTCCAGAGTGGCAATGATCTCTTCAGTCTTTAGCCTGCTAGTCTCTATGGGACATTCATTTTCTCCTTTTCTTTTTTTTTTCCTTTTTGTCTTTTTTTACTGACCGGTAACGGGATCGCAACCCTCGGTGTCGCGCCCGTACTGGGGACCAGCAACGGGATCGCAACCCTCGGTGTTGCGCCCGCACCGCGCTCAGCCAGTGAGCGGGAACCGGTGTCCACATGGGATCCGAACCCTCGGCGGGAGCGCCGCTGCACTCCCAAGCAGCGCACTCTCCAGTGCGCCACCGGGCCGGCCCTCATTTTCTCCTTTTAATAGTTGCAATCCATTGTATTTATTGTGGATTCTCAAAGTTTGCCTGTCAGTCATGGATATTTAATGGACACAGTTCTTGCAAAGACTTCCAGATTCCCATGTTGATTCTGACTTCCTTTGGAAAAAGATGTAAATATCTTGGTCTTTGTTAGCAAACATCATAAGTAAAATTGGTAATCATTTGACAGCCATCTTCCTTCCAGCTAACCACAGTATTTTGTAGCTTCCCCAAATTACCACCAAGAATTGGTATAAATAACTGCCACCCCAGAATATTGGAAATCTTTTATAATTCTTTCGTACTGATTTTTTACTTTTTTAGGATAATAGAATTGGAGTTTTTTCTTTATTTCTTTTCGTCTGTCTTTTCTGAGAAATACATGATGGGGCCAGTGCCTTCATATGAGCACCTGTGAGATTGTAGGTCAAGCATATGAGGATCCAAGAAGTCTACTACAGAGGATAAATCAGTGACTCCAAAAGGGTTCCAATTCTCTAACTTGGAAAAAAGCAACTCAAACCAGAAGGGTTATAGTTTTCAAATTTGCTTTCAAGATTTCTACTCCATCTGCTATCCATCTGTAGTATGAGGGTACTTCAAAAAGTTCGTGGAAAAATAGAATTAAAGGATAATACAAATCTTTCCATGAACTTTTTGAAGTGTGCTTGTAATAATAATCTTTTACGTCTGTAAAACTCTTTGCAGTTTACCAGTGTCCCATATTTTATTATTTCTTATAATCTTCAGTTAAAGAAACTGAAACTAAAAAGTTAACCAACTTGTCCACATTCTCAAAGCTAATGTCTGGCAGAGCCAGAACTATTAATAGAACTCAGGTCTTCTGATACTTAATTTAGAGGCTTTTCTTCTGTGCCCCAACTGCCTTCTCCTCAGAGACAGGAAAAAAGAATCTGAGGAGCTTCTTCTCGTGTTTCATGTTCCATGACAAAGCATGGACCAAGCAAAGTAAATGATAAAGAGTATATTCTCACTTTCAACTACATAATAACTTTTTTTTTGTATTTATAGTGAGCAGGCTCTGGTTTACCTCTTTCTCGTATAGAAATAGTTGAGGAAAAATAGGAAATTATAAGTATTCTTGTCTTTTGTAATTGATATTTCTGTATGTTAAATGAAATCTCACATCTGCTTTTATTTAATAAGGCAGAGTACACTTGTTTTAATACTAGTGTCTTTGCAGCAAAGTTCAAATTCTAGATTCTTATGACCAAATTAGGTCTCTAACTGGAGATGTCTTCTTTTTTTTTTTTTTCCCTTTTTGTCTTTTTCCGTGTCCGGCAATGGATCGCAACCCTCAGTGTCGCCCCCGTACCGGGCCGGGACCGGCAACGGGATCGCAACCCTCGGCGTTGCTCCCGCGCCTCGCTCAGCCAGTGAGCGGGAACCGGTCTGTATGTGGGATCCAAACCCTCGGCGGGAGCGCCGCCGCACTTCCCAAGCAGCGCACTATAGCAGTGCGCCACTGGGCCGGCCCAAACTGGAGATGTCTTCTATTTCTTCTTCTCCACTCAATTCTGGCTTGGCCCTGAGTGTCAGGTTTAGTAATCTGATTAGCAAGTAGTCAGATAAGAAGAAAGAGGTAGTCTTCACATCCCTGTTATAAAGACCTGTTGTTCTGCAGATGTTCAGAGGTGGTTCAATAAAAGAAAAACTTGCAATCAAGGTGGAGAAGCCAGTTGGAAAGTATTTGGCAAGAGCTTTTGAGCTTGGCCAGGGACAACTGTAATACCTTATTAGAGTACATTGTGATATAACAGACTGAGCAGCTGATTACATGAAGAGATGACATTGCTTTTACCTGTTGCCTGAGTGCCTTCCTTCTTAATTTTTTAAATCCAGCTTCAAACTCTGATTCAAGAGACTGACCCCGGTGCGGATTACCGCATTGATCGAGCTTTGAATGAAGCTTGTGAATCTGTAATACAGACAGCCTGCAAACACATAAGATCCGGAGACCCAATGTAAGTTATCTTATTTGTGGTATTTATCCATATTGTATTTTATTTGGCAGCACAGGGGACATTCCCTCAAATGATTTTGGGGTGGTTTAACAACTAAAATTTTGTTGAGCAGAAACACATACCCACTTTTGTTAAAACTAGTCTTAGAATTGAGACTTTGGATCTGCCTCATCCATGATGTAGAGATATCTAGACCCAGAATTATGATATTGTTTGTTGACAATGACTGAGTATATATGGGCCTGTATATTAGGTCACTGAATAATTTCGTATAATGTTCAAATAAAAATGAGAGAAACGGGATAAAGTAACAACATACTTGGCACTCTGTACTTTTCATCACATTCGTATAGTGACTCGTATACATTGGCTAATTGATAATGATTAGAAAGTAATCAGTTATCATTGAAATGGAAAACAAAATGTGGTAGTTGGAGGGGGTGGTCATAGACAAAATGAGTACTGGAGTTGCATCCAAGACCTACGAAAGATGAATAAATGCTATAGTAAAGTATTTGTATTTTTCTACATCTTTGTAGCCTGCAGCCAGCAGTACCCAACAATAAAGTGAATGTAGTTCATGTTTATCATCATTGCGCTATGCAAAAACTCCTGCTGTTCATGCTGTGGTAGGGGATTAAACATGATATTCTTCCTTAAAGCTTTTTGTATGGTTGGAGGAGATAGACAAACACACTTAAGACTAATTAAGAATTTCTTACCAATTTAAAAATAACTGCACCAGCCAAAAAGGGGCAGGGAGTGGGAGAAAGGGGGGAACTGCTATAGATTAAAATAGATTAAAGGTACTTATCAATTAAATGCAATGTGTGGACATTTTCTGGGTCCTGATTTGAATAAACATGTAAAAAGACATGAGATAATTGGAAAAATTTGAAAACTAACAGGATATTACATGATATTAAGGATTTTTTATTAATTTCTTGGTAGTGTGATATTTCATATTTTGGAGAAACATGCTGAAGTATCCATGAATGAAATGATATGGTGTCTGGAATTTGCTTCAAAATATCAGCAAGGGGGCATAGAATTAAAACACACTTTGTCATAGGTTGATAAAGCTATGGGGAGAGAAGGTGGCTGTTACTTAATTCTCTACTTTTGTGTGTGCTAGAAATTTTTCATAATAAATGGTTAAAAATAAAGCAGCTACACATGGATCTTGTGTATGATGAGTCCTGAGTACTTAGTGGCTCTGAAACTGATAGAAGGCCTCATCACTGTCAGGTTCAGTTAATTTGAGTGATTCTGAGAAAAATCCTGTTGCCCTAAGAAAATAGTTAAAGAGCTTTTTCTACAGACCAAGGAAATATATTGATGTGAGAGTTCTGAACCTGTCATCAGAACATTTGTCTCTCATAATTTCACCCATTTTATGGCTAGGATCCTCTCGTGTCTGATGGAACATTTATACACAGAGAAAATGGTGGAAGACTGTGAGCACCGTCTCTTAGAGCTGCAGTATTTCATCTCCCGAGATTGGAAGTGAGTATTTTGAAGCCAGAGTAAATTTATTGCCTCAACCTGTTCTCCTTGTAGTCAGTGTCACCTGTATATTTTGAAATAATCAGTAGGAAATTAGTTTTGTTAAGTTCTGGGATAGTTAACATACTCCAATCCCTTGAAAAACGTATTCTTCATTGCTTTCAGAATAGAATCTAAAAGCAGAGTCTATACCAAGTATCCCTATTCACCATTCCTTTGGAAGTCAGGGTCAAAATGTTTCTGATACCACAAACATCTATCTAGAAAGAATTCTGGCACCTTGGGGCATCAAAAGCATCTTCAGATGTATTGCTAAAAAGATGATAATGCATTTGTATTTTTATTGATTTGCACTGGGTATGGGAATTTGCTTTTATTTCTTTAACTTTTAATACAATGTTATTGAATTTATTCTACCTTAAGAATTCTTATTAAGAAACAACTTGATTCTATAATTCCCTTCTCATCCTATTAGCGAAAAAGAAAGGTGAGGGATGAAATAGGAGAAGGACGTGTATTACAGTCAGTCAGAATCAATATAGTTTACTGGCTGCAGTTCCTCTCCTCTTTCCATGTCTTATTTTTCCTTCCCACCTCAAAGCAGCCACTACTGGCTATGACTGCACCTCCTGCTTCCCAAGTTCAGCTGCTTCCTGATTTTGGTTGTTTAAACCACTGTACTTTGGTCATTAACTCTTCTGGTGATTTTTTTTTTTTCTTTGTTTTTGGCTGCTGACCAGTACAACAATACGAATTCTTGACCTTGGTGTTATTTCTGGTGATTAATATATGTTTTCCTTCATACTTTACTAGAAAGAGTTTACTTGATGATTCGATGTGTTTTTATTTCTGTTCTTTCCAATTAGCTCTAGAAAGGACTACAGAAAGCTGATCAGTGGGCCGGCCCGGTGGCGCACTGGATAGTGCGCCACTTGGGAAGCGCGGTGGCGCTCCCGCCCGAGGGTTCGGATCCCACATACAGACCGGTTCCCGCTCACTGGCTGAGCGAGGCGCAGGAGCAACACCGAGGGTTGCGATCCCGTTGCCGGTCCCCGGTCCGGTACGGGGGCAACACTGAGGGTTGTGATCCGTTGCTGGACACGGAAAAAAGACAAAAAAAAAAAAAAAAAAAAGAAAAGAAAGCTGAGCAGTAATTTCCCTTTGCTTACTCAGGCCCTCTAAGTGGAAATAACAGTGTTTACTGAGTGTACTACCTTAAAATCATGTTAATTCCTTCCCTCATAATCAAAAAAGTGCCTCATAAAATCTACTCACTTAATAGTAGCTTCTCTCCTCCCATTAAATGGCCCTTCCCCAAGTTGATAATATAATGGATGGAATTAAGCACGCCTTAATCTGATTTGGAGAAGAAGCAGGTACGTTGCCTAATCCAGTGTCTCCAGATTTAAAGTTAAATGTCAAGTTTTGCAAATTGATCAGCATATTCAGGTAAACTAAAAAATAACTGCCTTACCTTGCAAGGGAAGAATCGGAGTAGTTTTAGTAGAGAAAAGTTGAGTGGGAGGTTGTTTATTTTGCCTTTTTGTGATCTTACTGAATCTAGTGCATCAGGTAGGATTGAATTTCATTCACACTTAGAAAAAAGTATTTAGTTAAAAAGTGGTGAGTAAAAAGTTGTGAATTGCCTGGTTTTTCAGCCAGGACATGTGAGTGCTGAGTGTGTTAATGTATTGTTAGGTACCTTACATAGCCAGGATAACATCTTTGAGGTAGAACTTAAATCTTCTGTATGAAGATTAACAGACTTCTACAGATTGACCCCTGTGTATTCATTAATAAAAAAATTCAGGAATATACTTTTGCATATATCTGTCTACCCTGGAGGAGATTGTTAATGAGTACACAAGCAAACACCTGGTAAAAACTTTTAACAAGTTAGAAAGAAATGTGTAGTAAGTAGAGGTTATCTGTTGACTCTTAACCTTACAGGTTGGACCCTGTCTTATACCGCAAGTGCCAGGGAGATGCTTCTCGTCTTTGCCACACCCACGGTTGGAATGAGACCAGTGAACTTATGCCTCCTGGAGCTGTGTTCTCTTGTTTATATAGACACGCCTACCGCACTGAGGAACAGGGAAGGAGGGTATGCAGTCAATATCGACTTTGTTTCTTCTTATTGTCATTTGTTTTTTTAAAAAGTTTGCTATTCTGGATTTTTGTCAGAAAAACTTTTTTAGTGTATTTGGCAGGGAGGGGGTTTCTGTACTACTAGAAAGTTCATTCAGTGAGGGTGCCTAGAGTTGCTCTACCAACTTCTTTCCATCTGACTTTATGTTTTTAACAAAGTGAGTGGGGGAAGACTTCCAGGTTTTTTCTTTAAATTACTGAAATCTGAATCAAAATAGATAATTAAATTCTGCTGTCCTACTTTATTTAGCTTTAAAAATCCATTAGAAACTTTTAGCCAGGATACAAGTGGTTCTTTAGGCTTCTGCCCTTAGCAACCGAACACATAATGCCAGTTTAATGAGGCTTCTCTAAGCAGTGCACTAGTTGGAACAGAACCTCCATACCCCATTCTCTTGGTGTCTGTCTGCCCAGATTCCTACCTTCTGTTGGGATATTTCTGTGTGCCTGGCTCTCAGGTAGCACTGACTGCCTTCTGGTACACACTGACATGCTGTGTGTGCTCCAGGATGGCCTTTCTGTGCTTTCTGAGGGACTCTCTTGTGTGTCAGTCCTGTTTTACAGAAAGTAGAGATGTTATTACTTCACATGCATGTTTACAAATACCCCTTCTGTCCTTAAGTCTGACTGTCTAGGATTCAGAATGAAGAAACTCAAAAGGAAAAGAACTGTATGCTTCACTTGCTACAATCCTAACCCAGTTTTTATACTGTTGTGTAAGAAAACATGATAACTTGTTTCATTTTTCTTAATGTGCCCCACATTAACCACAGGGGCTGCCAAATCCTGGCTTCTTGCTAGTCCCAATAGTAGGAGTTTTTCTTATGTAAATGAAGAAAGGGTTGGAATCTGGTATACTAGTGCTTTTTTTAAAAATTTTATACTTTTTAAAAAATTGAGATGAAATTCATGTAATATAAAATGAATCATTTTGAAGAGAAAAGTTCAGTGGCATTTAGTACATTCACAACGTTGTACAACCACCACCTGTATCTAGTTTCAAAACCTTCCATTACTCCAAAGGGAAACCCCATGCCCATTAAGCAGTTACTGTCCATCCCCCTGGCCCAGGTGTGCTGGCTTTTTTCAGGAAAAGAGACTAACTGCACCTGTCCATGACAGCTTTCTTGTGGTCCTTCCAAAAGTATTCATTTTCACCTGCTTCAACCTCTGCTAATTCTGCATAACTCATCTAGAAGAGTCTGGTCCTGACCTGTAGTAACTGTTGCTTCTGCAGTTACTTGCTGGTATGATTTAGGTCAACTTGAACTCAGTTCTTTTGAACCAAGTATATATTCTCTCCTGAACCGGTTCTGGTGTTCTACTCTCCATTTATAGAGTAGTAAATTAATTTTGCTAAACCAACAGAAACCTCTCTGACTAACCTAATCTGAATGAATCCATTTCCCTTATACCAAGATACTCTCAGAAATGGATGTTGTTTCATATAGTATATTAGAAAATGCTGAATGTATAATTGTATTCCTAGAGATACGGGCATTTATTTTATTTTTAAATTTTTTTTCTTCAAGAAACCTACTTTAAAGATAAGGGCTTTTAGAAGTCTCCTAAACATTTCATTCTTATTATGGAAACAATTTGAGGTATAAAGTTTGGGAGATAAACTATATGGTTATTTGTTAGTTTCCTGACAAGTTTCCTTTGTCTGGTGTTTTCATGTGTTTGTTTTGTTACCTTTAAAGTATTTTGCTTATTCTTTCTCACATAGCTCTCACGAGAGTGCCGAGCTGAAGTCCAAAGGATCCTACACCAACGTGCCATGGATGTTAAGCTAGATCCTGCCCTCCAGGATAAGTGCCTGATTGATCTAGGAAAATGGTGTAGTGAGAAGACAGAGACTGGACAGGTGGGTGACGTAGCTTCCTGTTTATCATGTAATAATGATGTTCATATAGACTACAAACACCATGAAGTCCATCTCTGTGTTTAATTTACATACATAATTTGTTATGTTATTCAGTGTTCCCTCTAGAAGAAGTCCTCAGGAAAATTTTCTCTTTGGTCTTCATATCACAAATTGTATTTTTCCTAAGCAGCTAGTTTGTTTTATATTACAGTTACTATATTTTATAATTGATTGATTCTTTTCCCTCTTTGTGTTGCCTGTGAGAAAGCCCATAGCCAAAGGTGTGGCCTACCTCTAGCATGTACATAGATTTTGTCCATTCCACTTTTCCTTAACATTTTTTCTTTTTATTTCCTCTTTTTTACTCATTTTTAATTCATTTTATCTTGCTTTTTTCTTTCTTTTCTCACTTTTATAAGCCACATTAAGTCCCTTTGAGATAAACAGGATATAAATATATACATATGTATGTAAATATTGGTATACATGAATAGTGTGTATGCCCTAGAACAGTTTCACAAGATATGTAGAAATGGAATTATTTTTTCCCACCTAGTTGACAAAATTGAGACTCAGGGGAATAAAGTGTATTGAAAGATAGAAAGTGTATTACTTTCTAATCTAAAACTCAAGTCTAGGCTGATTAGAGATAATAATATTGTACTGTATATTTCTAAATAGCTAGAAAAGAGAATCTTGACCATAATCATGACAAAGAAAAAAATCAGGGGATGGATGTGCTATCTACCCTAAGTGAATCATTGTGTAATATATGCATGTATTGAAACAACACACCAAACCCCACAAATATGTACAATTAAATTTTTAAAAAGAGGAAAAGAAAACTAAGTTTAATCCTAGCTAGGCATTTGCTCCATTATACTATACCCTCTCCATATAGGAAAGCATAAGAAAAGAGCACCCCCAGAATTACATGCATGCCATGAAGGTTCCTTAGGATTGTATGCCCAGTTTAGGGGAAAGAAGAAAAAAAATGCATTACTGCAAGTTACATGGGAAGGTAGCACATTTTCCACCTTAAAGCAGGAAGCGGTAAGGATTAACTCCGTTTAAAGCTACACACTAATACAAAAATAAGGAGTGAACTCAGGCTTCCGGGTTCCATTTGTATCACTACAAAACACCCTCTGGATTTAAAGTATTACAAATTAAAAGGTCACATAGACAGGAAATTGGACATTTTAAGAAGCAACGTGGGTCCCCCTACTCATGCCTCTTGGGCATAGGAATATAATTTTCAGCATTCTGCTTCCTGAGCCTGCTACAATTCAGGTTTATCATTAGAAAATGCCTGTAGTTTCACTTTCTGCTGCTTCTGTCCAATAAAACAAGGGATATGGTGATATGGAATCCCAGGAAATAGTTTCCTTCATACCCCTCAGTAAACATTTAGGAAGCTGCAGTACATTGCAACCCATCACTCAGAAGCTAAACCTAAAAAAGGATTCTATGAATGGGATTTTTCCCTTAGCCATATATTTTACTCCAAAAAGTTCAGTGCATTTTCCTTTAGATGGCTTTTTTTCCCTTCTTCCATGCTGGCTATTGTATAATTGCTATAACCCTTCTCTTCCCTTCCCATTCTCATTCTGAAACAGAAAGATTCTTGAAGAATAAGTCAGTAAGTTAAACTTGGTTCTTTGACAGAACGTTTTGCTGAGATGTTGCTATTGGTATGCTTTGGGAAAGTGAGCTGATGTTATACTTAAAATCTCTAAACCTCTGAAAGGAATAGTAATAGACTAATGCTACAGGGTAGCTCCAGCTCAGTTTCCAAAGCCCAGACAAGATAGCTTTTATTTTATTTTATTTATTTTATTTTTTTGTCTTTTGTCTTTTTCCGTGTCCGGCAACGGATCGCAACCCTCAGTGTTGCCCCCATACCGGACCGGGGACCGGCAACGGGATTGCAACCCTCGGCGTTGCCCCCGCGCCTCGCTCAGCCAGTGAGCGGGAACTGGTCTGCATGTGGGATCCGAACCCTCGGGCGGGAGCGCCGCAGCGCTTCCCAAGCGCCGCACTTATCCAGTGCGCCACCGGGCCGGCCCGTCAAGATAGCTTTTAGATACCCAAACCCTAGTGTGCTCGTATGTTTTGGAATTTCCCTCAGAATCCTTTTGATGTGGTCTGAGGTTAGAATCCCAGATTTGACTTGCAGGAGCTACCAGCTCTGTGATCTGTCCCAGATCCCATGTCCCCACCTACCTTATGGAGAGTCTTAAAATAATCCATGCTTTTCACTGAGAATTTGTTGTTCAATGATTATTATCAAAGTGTAGATTTAAAACAGCAGGTAAAAATGATCAAAACACAGATCAAAAGTGGAATGTCGGTTGTTGATGGAATGGGATAAAGGTCTGATAAGATTTTTAAACTTTGAGGATACTTGAAGATCTGTTCTTATTGGACTTGTAGATTTGACCTTCTGGGAGATTTGCATGGCTGTTTTACCCCCTTGGCCCTTTTAACCACCCTGCTACATCAAGTAATTATCTTTTCAACAATCTTCATTTGGGGAATCAAACACCATGCTCTAACCAACTGAGTAACTGGCCAGCCTTCAAATAAAGCTTTTGTGTTCTGTTCAGTGAGACAGTTTGTAGAAGAAGAGAAAAGGAGGACCACTGAAAAGGAAGTGGGCACTGGTATCTCAACTTCCTTGTTCATTTTACATGACGGATAAAAGCCAAGGGCTTGCCTTTTTATTCTCAGGAGCTTGAGTGCCTCCAGGACCATCTGGATGATTTGGCCGTGGAGTGCAGAGATATAGTTGGCAACCTCACCGAGTTAGAATCAGAGGTAAGCAGTGTGCAGCTTACTCAGCAGAGGAGAGTTGCCTGCCAGCAGCTTTGCCTCTTTTGCTTAGTTCTACTGTTTCTGGACTCTTGAGAATGCATATTCTCTGTCAATCAAAAGAAACCTAATCAAATTCTCCCCGTTTGCTTTATGAAGATGTATATTGTGTTGCTTCCTGAACCCCTTCCCTCATTTCTCTAGAAAAACACTCTATACAATTAGCCCTTTGGTTTTCTTTGTAAATTAGAATTATCATGGTGATTAGACCTTTGTTCCTCCTTAAGAAAAGATAGTAGCTGTACTTCAAATCTGTTAATCACATTTAAGAGTAAATCCAGGCATTCCTATTGTTTTATTCTTAGCTCTTGTAGTTAGGTCATTTGGTAATGTGTGTATGGTTAATATAATAAAAGCTTGGGGCTTCCAGTTAAACATGGAAGATGGAATGCATGTGTTTATACCTGTTCCATCCAGAAACCCACTAAAATATAAAAACTGGGATTAAAAAAAATCTCATAAGCATAGACATATTAGTCATAAATACAGAGATTATTACTGTGGGAGGGGACAGCTAAAAATGTTAAAGTTGTCTAATGGGGGCAGAAATCAGAGAAATGGGGACTTGCTATTTTTTTTATCATAAGCCTTTTTGAACTATTTGCATTGTCAAAATTGGCAGTACATAAAATTACATTTCTCAACCAGTCCTTTTTGCTTTCTAGTTTTCAAAAGTTTGTGCTTTCTCTCATCTTCTGCCATCTCCTCTCCCATTCTCATTGTCCTTGTGGGCTTATGAGAACATTCTTGGGTGTATATAACTCTTCAAAGGAAGATGTTGTTTCAGCAGCTAGTGCTGCACAGAGATACTCTGCTTAAAGGCATTTAATGTGTTCCCTAGAAGAAGTGGTTTGTCATCTGGTTTGAAGGCAGTGATTTGGCTTAATGAGTTTACAAACTAAAGATAGATGTCAGTTACCCCTATTTTTATTTTGAACTGCTTAGCATTTTGGAAAAATTCCAAAGGCTTTACATACTCTAATATTATTGCTAAATGTTTTTTCACCCCACCTTTCTTAATTCTGTCTCCTCTTTTGTTCAGGTAGAAAGTGAATCTGCCTCTATAAAATTTGCCTTTCAAAGTACAATTGAGGAGCAGTTCTGTCAATTCTGGAGCGGTCTAACTTAAATACTATACTAGAATACTTCCCAAATGTACATATTAGATTATTTGCCCATCAGATGCTACTGATTCAGAAAGAGAAACTGCTCTTCCTCCACCCATGGCTATTTCTAAAGCAGAATTATTATATTTCATCTTCTACAGGATATTCAAATAGAAGCCTTGCTGATGAGAGCCTGCGAGCCCATAATTCAGAACTTTTGCCACGTAAGTGATGTTTGGAGGAACAAGGGGTAGAAACAGAACCAAATTCATTGAGATTCTGGCCCCTGAGTATGTTGGACTCACCTCTATCTTCAGCGTACATTACTCCTGAGTGATAGCCAGCTTTCACAAGTTAAAGTTGAAAATGTAAAAAAGATCAAGAGAGAGGAGCCACCCTCCTGAGGAATCTTATTTGATTAGCCTTTGAAGGTGACCGGGTATGTGTTGAGCAGCAGTTTTTAAGATGCCCTTCATAAGAAAAGATGGATGTTCTTGCCACAAAAAATGTTAAGTATTTGAAGTGGTGAATATGTTAACTAGCTTGATTTAATTATTCTACATTGTATTCATAAATTATAACATCACTTTGTACCCCATAAATTTATACAATTATAAGTGGCCAATTTATAATAAAAAAAAAAAAAAAAAAAAAAAAAAAAAAGATGGAACAGAAAAGCCCCATTAATATGGCTGAGTTGCTTTGGATATATCAGCCCAGGAATGTTAGCAGTAATAATGTCTTTCCCTTCTAGCTGTCTCCTTGTACCTCAATATTGAGTGAATTCTCTTACTTTAGTACTTATTCACTTTTTTTTTTTTTTTTTTTTTTTTAAAGATGACCGGTAAGGGGATCTCAACCCTTGGCTTGGTGTTGTCAGCACCACGCTCAGCCAGTGAGCAAACCGGCCATCCCTATATAGGATCCGAACCCGTGGCCTTGGTGTTATCAGCACCGCACTCTACCGAGTGAGCCACAGGCCGGCCCCTTATTCACTTATTGAACAACCTAAATTGTGAGAGTGTGACACACCCAGGAACCATGAGGATCTGACCAAGACACTATGTTAGATAGTATCTCAAAAGCCTGCTGCTGGCATCATACAGGAAAAGTCAATAAAAGCACTCTTGGTACATATTCTTATCTCATGCAAAATGACTTTCTCTGTTTTATTCCACTGTGTGTTTATCCTTTATGTTTCCCCAAGCTTCTTTTGATATAATTTATGATGTATATTTCTTGTGAAACTTTCTAAAATCAGTCCCATTTCCATTTTTCATGGCCGAGGCTACAAGTTTTGTTTATTACTTGTTATGAGTGAAGTATAATTGTATACTATCTTCCCCAGGATGTGGCAGATAACCAGATAGACTCTGGGGACTTGATGGAGTGTCTGATACAAAACAAGCACCAGAAAGAAATGAATGAGAAGTGTGCCATTGGAGTCACCCACTTCCAGCTGGTCAGTGATCCCTGGCTGTCGATTTCCTCTCTTATCTTTGTGGATGGTTACTGAATCCCATCCTCTTTTAGAATATCAGGGCACCTCTGATATTCTCTGAAAAGTCATTTTTTCCAAATATATATCCTATTTTTAAAAAACTTTTTTATATATTTTTTATTGAATCATAATTGATTATACATATTTTTGGGATTCAATGTTGACATAAGTTGATCAAATCAATATTACTAGTGTGTATATTGTTACAAATTATACTTATTCTTTATGTCCCTTGTCCAATCTCCCTATCCCGCTCTCCAAACATATATCCTATTTTTATTTGTTTTCAATAAATGTGTGTTTTATCTACTATGGCCAGGCACTTCGTTAAGCTCTGTGAAATGCAATGATAAATAAGACATAGTCTCTAACCCCTAGGGAGCATATAGTCTAATGGGGATAGAGACAAGTAAGTAGGCTTTCCTTGCTTCAGTCACATTGCTTGCATAAAGTATTTTAGCTTCTCCTTTAACAGTTAGTGTCACTGGAATCTGTTGTTTTGTGTAACTATTCAGTGCAACGGCCTAAATGTGTATCAACACACTGGACTCTAAGCCTTCTTTTCTTTTAAATCATACAACGTACAACTGACATTTGAATAAGAAGGTTAAACTGTACCCTTCATAGTTATCACATGTAACTAAAGGAAGTGTTTCTGGTACAGGTTGAGCATCCCAAATCCGAAAATCTGAAATTCAGAATGCTCCAAAAATTGAAACTTTTTGAGCACCAACATGATGCTCAAAAATGCTCCTTAGAGCATTTCAGATTTCAGATTTTTGTATTAGGAATGCTGAACCAGTAAATATAATGCAAATATTCCAAAACCTGAAAAAATCTGAAATCCAAACGATTTCTGGTCCCAAGAATTTCAGATAAGGGATACTCAACTTGTATAGCAAGCACTTCCTTCCAAAGAAGATGAAATCCAGTCTGCTGTGTTAACTGACCACTTCTCAGGGCATATAGACTATCTGACTGTGCATTCAACACTTCTGAAGTGCCAGGCACTGGAAGACAGTGGGGAGACAAACCCACAACCTTCATGAACTCTCTATCCTTGTAAGAGAAAAACACAAAAACAAGTGTACAAATTAATGTATATGCTCAGGTTGTTCTAGGAGGAAAAAGCAGAGTAGGGCTTGGATGGTGAAGGAGAAAGGGGTCTTCAAAAGAAGGTACTTGACTAGAAACCTCAAGGAAGTGGCAGAGCAACCCATGCGAAGATCTGGGAGAAGAGTACTTTCGGCAGAGAGAACAGCATGTGTGTGACTGGAATGGCAGGGAAGCCAGTGTTCCTGCAGCAGAGGGAGTAATGGAGAGATTGGCAGTTCATGAAGTCTAAGAGAGATAGAGGGCAGGCAAGTTATGGGGTCTTGTAAGCAGGCTTCTGAAAGCTATGTGAATAAAATGTCACCCACTACTGTTGACTAGAACTTGTCACAGAGCTTCTGATTTTCTTTCTCATTATCTTTCAGGTGCAGATGAAGGATTTTCGGTTCTCTTACAAGTTTAAAATGGCTTGCAAGGAGGATGTGTTGAAACTTTGCCCTAACATAAAAAAGAAGTATGTTGCCTTTAATTGATTCGTTCTGCTTCCCCAGAGTCTCTCTTAGCTACTAGGTGAATTCCCAAAATGTTACGCAGCCTCCTGCTGTCTGGCAGGACTAGCCCTGGAGGCCTCCTGCGTAGCTCCTTTGGTAGTGTGACGAAACACTTGAGTTTTGTGGACAGATCATCTTCACAGCTGCCTAGAGTCACACCTGGTGGTGGTAGTTCTTATATAGAGAACCCACAGGCTAAAGGTGCATTTTTTAATTTTTCCAGTTTCAGGCTGTGTAACTGTGGAAGCAGTTACAAATTGTGTACTTAGAGAAGCAGGCTGCAGTGTGGGTCAAAGAGGTTAGCTGACTTCCCCCCCAGCACCATCCCATTATATCATCTCTTCAGAGAAACAGCAGGGGCTTTTATGGAGTCAGTGAAGAAACAAAAACTTGATTCATTTCAGAAGTAGGTCTTAATGAGGAGACTGATAAATTTTTATAGCACGGTTGCCCAAATTCTTCTGTGTTGCTCTTTGAAAAGGCACATTTCTAGAACACATTCCCCCCATTTTGCTCAGGTTTCTGTAGCTCTCAGGAATGAGTTTCACAGTACATAAAAGGCACAGTCTCAGAGTTAAGAGCATCATTCTCTGTGTTTAAAAAAACAAGTATTGAACTGCCCTTGCACACATCCCCTGTCTGGCCTCCCCTCAAGTCAGGAATGTAGTCAGCATTCAGTTTGCTGCCTGATCTATGACACATGTAGTCAAATTGATGCTTTTAGTACTCTGAAAAAGACAATGAGAGTTACAGGAAAGATTTTTAAAAATGTGGTACAGCAGGTCATGAATTCTGGGTAAATGGTGTGGCCCCTGCCCCAGCCCAGTTTCAGGCCGTCTGCCTCCTGTGGCTCCAGCCAGTCTCAGGCCTTTTCCTTTCCTCGGCAGGGTGGACGTGGTCATCTGCCTGAGCACCACCGTGCGCAATGACACTCTACAGGAAGCCAAGGAGCACAGGGTGTCTCTCAAGTGCCGCAAGCAGCTCCGCGTGGAGGAGCTAGAGATGGTAATGTGTCCCAGAAACTTTAGGGGCTGGGATTTACAAAGTTAGGGTAGGGGGCTAGGGCAAGGTAGAAGATTTCAGCCACTATTGTGATCAGTGGTTAAATCTTGGAGCCACATGCTAAAATTTTACTATATGACAATAAGTTTCTTATTTCACTGTTTTTGAATGATAAAACATATTTTACCACACATAGCGGGAAGTCCAGCTGTAAGACAAGCTCTAAGCATATTATACAATCCTTAGATCAGTAGTGTCATCAAAGATCGAGGGTTTTTCCTCTCCACTCTTCTGTCCTTGGCATCAGCTTCATCCTAAGGCCAGTTTCCCTCGTGCTGCACGATGACTGTCAACAACAACTGGGCCACCTGCTCCAATATTCATCTCCAGCAAGAAGAGGGGAAAAATACAGAGAGAAAAACCTCCCCTATCATTAGATAAAGATCCTTCCCTTCAATTTGATTGTGTCAGCTTGGGATCTGTGCCCACTCCCTGACCAATAGCAGTCTCCAGGGAAATGCCATAAACTGATGAGCTTAGTAACCATTGAGGCAAAATGAATATTGAGAGGTCCTCCATAGTGTGCACTCTAAGAGGAAACTTCTTGCTTTATTTTTGAGATTAAGGCCAAACCCTGTTTAAAAGACAACTAAAAATATTTTTAATACATTTCGTGCTGTGGATTATACTGTTTCACCTTAGTCCAAGCAAAAAATAGTAATGGAGACCAAACACCATTAATATCCCAAAAACTACTTACCAAATTTTCACATATAGTGGCAGTGATTCATTGACAATTCTGTTTAAGTGGAACTGGCCTAAATGTCCTGTTATAATGGCAACTTTTTTCAAACTGGAAGTGTTGGTTCCCTAGCTTTCAGCCTAGCTCTTTTGGTAAAACAATAATAATAATAAAAGTAGAACCCTACATTTACATAACGGTTTTAACTTTATAAAGTGGTTTTCACATAATATCTAATTTATCTGACAGTAGTCCTGTGAAAGACCAGCCATAGCTTTTCAGGGTAGACATGGCATTTTATTTGCACAAAAGATCCAAGGCCATGCAGCTAGTTGGTGGCACAACTGAAAGTAAATCCCAGTTCTCCTGTTGCATGGCCACACTGCTGTCACTTTGCAGTGCAGAAGTCATCGTCACTAGACAAAATTCAGTCAACAGGTCTGTAGAACATCTGACATCTCCAGCCTAAAATAAGCTCACTTTTCCATGTTGGCACCCTCTCTGCAGACAGAAGACATCCGTCTGGAACCAGATCTGTATGAAGCCTGCAAGAGTGACATCAAGAACTACTGTTCCACGGTGCAGTATGGCAATGCTCAGGTATGTGAAGGTAACATTTTAATAATTAATTCTTTGCTGTTGTGACAGGAGCCAGCACATCCTGCTCAGCCTGATCATCCCCACTTAAGCTACGCCAGACTTCTTTTCCCAAAGTTCCTCACCTGCTTGCTCTTTGTTTCTTATTTATTGTCTTCCTTCTTTCAGGTTACCTCATCCTTTTCCACCTTCTCTGCCTAATAAACTCCAATGATCCTTCAAGTGTCCTCTCCTCTCTATAGCTTTCCCAATACTCTGCACCTCCAAAATTAATTATTCCCTCACTGTGTTCCCATTGCAGAGAAGTTCTTAATTACAGGTCACATAAGAATCATTTAGGAAACTTTTCTTAAATATACACAGAAACAGGGCCCTACTCGGAATTGCCAGAAATGAAGTACAAACAAGTGATGGGTTTGTGTTTGTTTGTTTTTTTGAGGTTCTCCCGGTGGCTCAGTTACCTCTAAGGCCAATGCCATGGTGCTTTAGCCTTTAAGATAATTACTTGTCGTCTTGTATCTACTGTTGCCAACATAGTGTCATATCCATCTGATTCTCATTTCTTTGTAGTTAATGTATCTCTGATAGGTTTTAGAGTTTTCTGTTTATCTTTAATGATCTAATTTCAGAGCGATGTGATTAGATGTGGTTTTTTTTTTCTTTATCTCAGTTGGCTCTTTTAGTCTCAGAATTCATGTCTGCCTCTAGTTCTAGGAAGTTCTCAGTCATTGTTCTTTCAAATACTGCATTCCCTTTCCTTCCTTCTACAACTCCTATTAGACAGTTGGAGCACCTGAATCTGTCCTCAGTGTCTCTTAACTTTTTCTTCTATGCTTTCTATTTTTTTGTTTGTTTATACTATATTTGAGGTAATTCCTCAGCTCAGTTTCCCAGCTTAATTTATTCTTCAGCTGTGTCCATTCTGCTTTTTAGAAAGACCACCAGTTACATATTTTTTGTTTTTGTTTTCAGTGTCATTTGGGTTGAATTCTTGTTTTGATTGCTCTATACCTTTTTCCCTCGGTTTTGAGTCCTTGATTTACTTTATTTATCGTCTGTCTTATGGTATTAGTGTTTTCTAGTTGGTGACTCCTGGTCGTACCTTTAGAATTTCATAGAAGTCTCATGACTTTGTGCAACAGCCCTAGCTGCTGTAGCTTCCCATCTGCTTTTCTTCTTTATATTTTTTATAGTCTCTAAAGGGGTAGGGAAGGGAAGATGTTAGGATATACTTAAAATCTATCCCATGACACTTTATGCTTTTATGTTATCACTCACCTTTTTCGTTGTAGTTATTTGTTTATAAGTTTGCCCTGTGATACTGTGTATTTGTCAGGCCTAAGGATTGGGTCTGATTCAGACCTAGCATCTAACTATCTATTCTCATGTGATAAATGGTGAGTTGACCTGAACCTCTGGGCTCGTGCATACTGTCTAGTCAGGTTGTTGCTCTAGAAATGCAGGGAGCCTAATGTATGCTTCAAGAAGAGTCTTGACAAGGAAGAGCTTTAGAAGGTAAAAGAAACCAGGAATCCTGACTGGGTTTCCCTCCCGTTGGACTCCAGTGCAGGCTGCTAGTCATCCTGAATTTTTATATAATTTGGTTTGCGATTGGCCCTAAGGTGGCAAATTTATAAATATAATTCTCCTTGATGAGAAAACCCTGATTCCTATTGACTGGGAATTAGAAATGAAAGGTACTTGGATTGAAAAATAGGGAGACCCCCTATGAACTGAATGTCTCAGTCAGAATACATGGATTATCGATCCCTGATTTATCCTTTAACTTGACCATAACTCTTATGCCATAGATTATTGAATGTCTGAAAGAAAACAAGAAACAGCTAAGTACCCGTTGCCACCAGAAAGTATTTAAGCTGCAGGAGACAGAGATGATGGACCCAGAACTAGATTACACTCTCATGAGAGTCTGCAAACAGATGATAAAGGTAAGTGATCTGGAAACAAGGACTGAGAACAGTGCAAATAAAAACTGTAACATACATTTCTTTCAGCCTGTTTTATACAGCCAAGATGGTGGTTCTCAAAATATGGTCCCTAGGTCACAGCATCAGCATCAGCATCACCTGAGAACTTAGATTCTTGGGACTCACCCCAGACATTCTGAATCAGAAACTCTGGGAGTGGAGCAGGCACTCTGTTTTCACAAGCCCTCCAGGTGATTCTGATGCATGCTCAGGTTTTAAAACCATAGAGTTAAGATAACTGATCTCACTTTGACCTGAGGCACAAGTAAATAGATGTCCAGTAAATATGTGATTCGTTTTAAGGGTGGTTAACTGTTGGTGTACTGAGAAAACCCCCATTGAGTATCCTGATCATCCATCTATCACATTCGAAAGATTTTTCTGTTCTATAATTTCTTTTGCATCGTTTACTCCTCTAGTGAACATTCCCTGCAGCAGGGCTGACTTGAGTGCCTACATGACAGTTCACTGATCTATCCACACATACGAAGGGATTAAACTTAAGGTTCCACATTTTTATTACAGCATTTCCTTTAAAATAAAATGATACTTTACACTATCAAATAAATTCCAAAGAGAGTTTTGGACATTAGAAGTGTAAGTCTCTTTAGCTGGGCCTGGTACAATTGAGTCATATGTAAAAGTGGAAATGTCAGGCTCCGATTTGAGAGAGCTTTGTAAGATTTTATAAAAATCAGGGCCGTCCTGGTGGCGCACTGCTACAGTGCGCCGCTTGGGAGCGCAGTGGCGCTCCCGCCGAGGGTTTGGATCCCACATACAGACCGGTTCCCGCTCACTGGCTGAGTGAGGTGCAGGCGCAACGCCGAGGGTTGCGATCCCGTTGCCAGTCCCGGTCCGGTACGGGCGCGACACTGAGGGTTGCGATCCGTTGCTGGACACGAAAAAAGACAAAAAAAAAAAAAAGATTTTATAAAAATCAGTACACATTTCCATATTAAGATATCAGTAGATTATAGTCACATACGATTTAGAGAACTAGAGGCAGAGAACTAGGAAGGGAGGCTTGATGCTCACGTGTCTCAACCAGAGTTTATCAGACCTATGGATTAGCAGATGGAAATGGAGTTTGTTACTAGTCCAAAATTGATCTCTGGCTTACAGGACAATAATAAATGTACAGAGGCTAGCCCCACATGTTTGGTAGGATTAAAGCCCCTATTAAGTTGAAGCAGGTGAGTCCTTATTCCACATCTCTGTTCACATTGGTTGGTGTGTAATTCCTAGGTTTTCCCACTGAGGTTGGGTAGATATGGCTTAAGGGCTGGTTGCCCACCTGGTACGTGAATGTTATATTCATGCTTAAACAGTAATTAAGCTTGTGAGATGCCATGTAATTTAAAATAGCCATATAGATAGGGAATCAATCCCATGCACATTAGGAACCCAAGAGGTAGTGGAGAGAACAGTGGGAAATAAGAAAGGGGACTTGGGATTGGTTGCTTATTCAGGCTTGGCTGTTCCTCTTGTACTAAATGATACCTTCAGATAAGCTCTCTCTTAGGTGTAAGAGTGATCACAGATGGGGTTAATTGCCGTATTTGGATAGATAGCTGTTTTTATAAAAATTTATTTCTTTGCAGAGGTTCTGTCCAGAAGCAGATTCTAAAAACATGTTGCAGTGTTTGAAGCAAAATAAAAACAGTGAATTGATGGATCCCAAATGCAAACAGATGATAACTAAGCGCCAGATCACACAGAACACAGGTAATATCTTGGCCTGACCTTCCTGTTCTCATTGAGTATAGCTTAAAGGGAATTGAGTGAGGTGCTTTGTTGCCTGTGACTTTTAAGGGAGGAGTCTGGATATAAGCAAAATAACTTACTCTTCCTTTGAAGAGTATCCAGAAAAAAGGGAATGGGAAAAGAGGAGACTGAAAAAACTAGAAAACTGCCATTGAAGAACATACAAAAGGAATCAGGGCTAGAGTTCCTTGACAAGTGTAGAGATTTAATAAATCTTCATGAGTATGGTAGTGGAATATATGGGTAATCCGTTTTAGAACAGAGAAGTTTCAGCTGTGGATTGCAAGACCTTGTAACTTAATGAGCAAAGTGAGTTGGATATTTTCTTCTCAGTGTTTTCAAACTATCTGTTATGGGGAAGGTTGCTGATGTCTGCTTGATTTTGTGAAGACTACTGTACTTAGAATATTGGACCACAAAACTCCACAGAGCTGCTGCAGAGTAGAAGGATTCCTGGGGACCTTCAAAAGTATTTTTTAAATTATATTGCTGATTAAAAACAGTATAGTGAGAGCTCAGTAAACATATATTGAATAGACAAATCAGTGGTTGTAGTCATGGTCATCGATATATTATTCCCCATTTTGGAAGGTAAATTTCTAAAAATTTGTGAATCCACGTAGAATATTTAATCTTGTATGTATTGCTTTTTTCTCTAGATTACCGCTTAAACCCTGTGCTAAGGAAAGCCTGTAAAGCTGACATTCCTAAATTCTGTCATGGTATCCTGACTAAGGCCAAGGATGATTCAGAGCTAGAAGGTCAAGTCATCTCTTGCCTCAAGCTGAGATACGCTGACCAGGTAAACTGGCCTGGGCTCTCCACAGAGGTGTATTTATGGAGCCACCTCTGTCCCTGGGAATTTTCTGTTTTGAAGTCCTTAGCCTACTCCTATTTTCAAGACCTTTTTCATACTTTCCCCAAAGCCAGGGGCTAAGGGACCAAATAAAAAGCTGACGTCTTCTGATAGGATGATGTATTCTCCCTTTGTCACATGTAGCGCCTGTCTTCAGACTGCGAAGACCAGATCCGGGTTATTATCCAGGAGTCTGCTCTAGATTACCGACTAGATCCTCAGCTACAGCTGCACTGCTCAGATGAGGTAACATTTGGGTACAGAACTGGTTGTGAACAGTGCTGGTCAAAGAAGTTTTTATTGAAGAAAAGTTCTTTACTATGCCTTTTTTCCCTGAATCCATGGTTAGTTGAAGTTCCCCTTCTAGGTTCTCCATTGTCTCAGTTCCTGGTTCTCTGTAGCACTGAATTAGATTTGGCATTAGTCCTGTCACTCCACAGTGTTGGTTCTGTATTCTCTATTGAATGAAGATGTTCTTTTATTATACCTATTTATGTGTAATTTTTTCTTCCTGTCTCCTTGTTCTGTATGATCAACACAGAGTACCCCAAGACTTGCCAGAAAGATAAAAGTGTTCCCATAATAGCTCTAAAGAAGTGCCTGTCTTTGGAAATTATTTGACTTCCTACCTAGAAAAATCTGCATAGAGATCCTTGTTCAACATATCAGTTTTAGGAGATTATAGCTAAAGGTGTTTCAAAGAAGCTTACTCATGAAACTATCCAAAGAAATTTAAGTTTTTTATATTTGCTATGGGCTGTGTTTCAGAACTCCTTTGTGTGTGTGTGTGTGCGCACATGCATGCCTCCAAGTTGTGAGTCTGGGTTGACCGTGAACCTCTGTAAATGTCAAGCATTTGCTTTTAGCATTTTACTTGGCTGTATAACCTTCTTCCTTTGGAACTGGGGAGTAGCCTTCTTTGTGCCAAGTCCTGGAACAATATGACTCCAATCTCAGTGTTGACAGCATAAAGATATGTATATTTACTGGTTTTCAATTCTGTGTGCCAGTCATTGCGAAGGAGAGTGGAGCCTGGCATCCAGTGCAAGAAGGAGAGGCGTGAAACCCCCTAGGAAGCTGTCTGAGATGAGCCCTGGGCACACATGTAGAAGGATCAGCAAATTGACATGTTGAGATGCCAGGGTTTCTGGTGATAGCAGTGCCATCTCTAACTTGTGAAACAGCAACTGGCTGGTGAGGAAGGAGCCCAGACACTGCAGTGTCCAGCGCTGGTTGGAATCACCAGACTCACCTGCTTCTGAAACTGTTTGCTCATTTCTGTGCTCAGTGGGGTGGCCTTGTTTTTCGTGTCTCCTGAACAGATCTCCAGTCTATGTGCTGAAGAAGCAGCAGCCCAGGAGCAGACAGGGCAAGTAGAGGAGTGCCTCAAAGTCAACCTGCTCAAGATCAAAACTGAAATGTGTAAAAAGGTAACCACCATCACCTTTTCCCCTCACTTCCCTTTCTCCCCGTTTTTGCTTCTTCCTTTTAATGCTATAGTCTGCACACCTTAGTAATAAAATTGAAAATCTAAACCTTCCTGCCCAGCATTCTATGCTGTTTCCTTTTACCAAACTTTAATTTGGTCCTTGACCGTTCACCTCCTGAAACTTGAATATTCTTTTCACAGGTACTAATTGTTTGTGAGTATGTCTCATCCCATGACCAGGCCATTATTTAAGAGCACTGTGAGTGTAACACCAAAGCAAAATGTTAATACCACTATATCAATAAGTGTTCTGCATTAACAAAAATCGATGAATCTAAAACTTTAGTTCATTTCAGAAATGTCACATAAAAACAGATTTATCAAAATGTGACTGCTAAGTGTACATGATCTTGCAAAATTGAAAATGAAATAATATGTTTGATCTTTTTTAGAAAGCTTAATCTTTTTAAAAAGAGTTTCAATGATGTCACTGAGTCATTGAGAATATTGTGTGTAAATTTTTTCATCTGCTAAAAATGTTTCTGATTTCATGTGGTCTGAGGCATGGTAATAGTTGTTTAAAAGCTAAATCCATGTATTTTCCTTTGACTCCTGTGTTATCAAACGATCCCATATAATTTTGGGGGGGAGTTGAATAATATTTGGGTTTTTTTATTTGGTTTTGTTAATTGATGTTTTATATGGACTATAGTCTTCCTACTGAGAGCAAACTAATTTTTATGGAGAAAGCATTTCTGGAGCAGGCCCGGGGTCCTAGGCAGGAGATGAGGGCAGCATCCCCAGCCCAGAAGCAAGCAAGGAGTATGCCGAAAACACCACTTCCACACAGGTGGCCCACCACAGCCACCATGCAGGGGACCTGCCAGACCTCAACTACATTGACACAAGGAATGTCACCAGTGGAGACCAGAAAAAGAAGAGGATGTCTCTCTCCTCAAAGTCCACTTCAGAGTAACAGAAGAAGCAACTGCTCTCCCAGATGACCAGACATCAATGTAGAGATAACAAAAACCCAAGAAAATATGACACTACCAAAAGAATACAATCATTGTCAAATACCAGGCCCTATAGAACAGGAAACCTTGAAATGACTGAAAGGAATTCTGAGCAACAATTTTAAGGAAACTCATTGAGATAAGAGAAGACTCAGTTAGAGAACATAATGAAACAGGAAAAAAAAAAGTCCAGGGTATGAAGGAAGAAATTTAGAAAGAGATTAATACCTTAAGAAAGAATGTGGCAGAACTCATGGAACTGAAAGTTTCAGTCAGTGAAATAAAAAACACAACTGATAGTTTAAGCAGCAGGTTAGAACAAGATGACAAAAGAATTTCTGATCTTGAAGATAGTCTTTTCAAAACAATCCAGGCAGATAAAAAAAGGAAAAAAGAATTTTAAAATATGAAGAAAATCTAAGAGAGCTAGCAGACAACCTTATGTACACAAACATTCAAATCATGAGTGTTCCAGAAGGGGAGGAGAAAGTAAAAGGCATGGAAAATCTATTCAGTGATATAATGGAAAACTTCCCAGGTATGGGGAGAGACAGGGAACTTGAGATCTAGGAGGCTCAGAGATCTTCAAATGGATTCAACCCAAAAAGATCCTCTCCAATACAGTCAAACTGGCAAAGTTCAAAGACAACGACTGCAGCAAGAAAACAGCATCAAGGAGCTGCCATCAGACGAACAGCAGACTTCTCAACAGAAACTCTATTGGCCAGAAGAAAATGTCATGATATATTCAAATACTAAAAGAAAAAAATTGCCAGCCAAGAGTATTATACCCAGGAAGCCTATCCTTCAGAAATGAGGGAAAAACAGTGTATTTTCCAGACAGACAAAAAGTGCGGGAGTTCACCTCCACATGACCAGCCCTGCAAGAAATCCTCAAGGGAGTCCTGCACCTGGAATCCTCAAAACGATGATCACTACCACGATTACACAAGAAAGAGCAAAACCCTGGGTTTTGAACAAAAATGCAAACAAGAAAGAGAAAGAAACTAATCTTACCACAACAGAAACCATAATAACAGTGTAATAATGCCCCTGCTTTATTCTGATTTTAGTGATTTCGGTCTTCTCTCTTTTTTTCTTGATCAACCTAGATAAAGATTTGCAAATTTTGTTGATCTTTTTAAAGGACCAACTTTTGGTTTTTCTGATTTTCTCTATTGTTTTTTAATTCACTATTTCATGTATTTCTGTTGTAATCTTTGTTATTTCCTACTTATATTTGATTTAGTTTGCTCTTCTTTTCTATTTCCTTAAGGTAGAAGTTTACATCATTGACTTGAGATTTTTCTTACTTTTAATTTAGGTGTTTACAAGTGTAAATTTTCCTCTAAGCACTACATGAGCCCTGTATCCAATAAAGTTTGATATGCTTTGATTTTTATCTCAAAGTACTCTCTAATTTCCTTGTGATTTTTCTTTTCACTTGTTTATTTAGGAGAGTGTTAATTTCCTCACATTAGTGAATTTTCTAAATTTCCTAATGTTATTGTGGTCGGAGAACATATTTTCTATCATCTTAGTCTTTTTAAATGTATTGAGACTTTTATGGCCAAAAATTAAGAAAATAAAAAGGAAAGCATTTCTGGCCTGTCTTAATGTCCTATAATTTTATCATATATAAATGGAGAGTCTGCAGAGTTGATTTCAGTTCTAATATGTTTATGTTCCTCTTGTTCAGAACATCTTTAAACTCAAATAATTATTCCTGTGGTAGAAGTTAAGTTCTCTCCAATCTTTTCCTTTTGAGGGTGATGGAGGTAATGTGCAACATTTATAAACAGAATATGCTTTTATTTGATTGGGAATTTTAATATAGCATGTTACTCTGATTTTCAAATTTCACATTTTTTCAGATTTCTTAACAAAATAACTGTTACACCAATAAAAGTACTAACATTTAAGTATTTTAAAATGATGTGGCATTCCAGAATGCCAAAAACCCAAATCTGACCTTATAGTTACTTACAGTCCCTGCTTTCCTGACACAGCTTTGCATACACTAGATACCAAAGATGTAGTTATCAGATTAAATTGGACACTAAAAATCTGCATTCTGTGCATCATCACCACATTGCCACTTGTCCCAGAGTAGTCTCTGTTGTTAACCCTCAACCTTCCCTCCTTGAATTGTTTGTATATAAAGTATTTACAGACATTTCCTCTATAAAAGCTCTCTTTGCAATGATCTTCCCTTTCCAGGAAGTGTTAAACATGCTGAAGGAAAGCAAAGCAGACATCTTTGTGGACCCAGTACTTCATACAGCTTGTGCCCTGGACATTAAACACCACTGTGCAGCCATCACCCCTGGCCGAGGGCGTCGTAAGTCACTGTGTTCACTCTGACCCTGTCTGGTCTACCCTGGGAAGAGCAAAGACTCCCGCTTAGACATCAGTTGTAGCTGCATAGACAACATTCTTTGGGGGCCTGGTTGTTGCCGAAACTAGGCCTTTGTGGAATGAATTTAAGAATAATACTGCAAGTTTGAACTGAATAATCATGAGCAGAGCTAAAGATTTGATGAAAGTGGAAAGTTATTTATCAGGGGGCTGGCTGATTACCTCAGTTGGCTAGAATGCAGTGTTACAGTACCAAAGTCAAGGGTTCAGGTCCCCGTAGCTGCCAGCTGCCCCCCCAAAAAATTTATCAGGGAAGCAAAAGTTAAGGCATCGTCATGCCCTTTATGCCCCTCTTGCCCAAGCTAAAACAGCTTCATCAACTTCCCTAGTGGCTACAGTGGGCTCAATAGACAGGTTCCGTGTGAGGCTGGAACCAGGGCAGGTGTAAAAGTTGTTTCTGAGACAGGTGTGCTGAATAAAAGTAAGAGAGGTTTTCAGAGAGACTCTGGACAGCCAGCCCTGGAAGTTAAGTGTCATTCTTCTCCATACTGCATCTTGGGTCAAGTTTCCTAGAGGATTTAGTTTTGTTGAGCTTACATATTGGAATTCTCTGATGCTTAGCTACTCTTCTCCATGACCTTAGAGAAATTCACTGTTCTGTCTACTTTCAGACTCTCTTCTTATCCATTTCCTCCCACAGAAATGTCCTGCCTCATGGAAGCCCTGGAGGATAAGCGGGTGAGGTTACAACCCGAGTGCAAAAAACGTCTTAATGACCGGATTGAAATGTGGAGTTATGCAGCAAAGGTAATAACCAAGAGAATCTTCCTTTTTTTTTTTTTGACCAGTAAGGGGATCTTAGCCCCTGACTTGGTGGTGTCAGCACCATGCTCTCCTAAGTGAGCTAACTGGCCATCCCTATATAGGGATCTGAACCCATGGCCTTGGTGTTATCAGCACCGCACTCTCCCAAGTGAGCCATGGGCTAGTCCTAACCAGGAAAATCCAACGTGGCCATCTCTTCTTCCATTTTCTGTTCTCTCACAGATATTTTATTGATTTTCTTGTCCTTGTGAGACAAGCAGTGAGTATATTTGAAAAGTCAGTCAATGTGTCTTTCAAACTCCTTTGCTGTCCATGAGGCTGGAGCCACCATCTCCCTCTGTATGAGGCTGCATCTGCAAGGCTCTGCCAAGGCCACTGCCTTCTGCCCTCAGTTGCCCATAGCCCATCACTGAAAAGTGAGTCCGCCAAAGAGAAAAGAGACATCAAGCCCAGGGGGAAGGAAAGAAATCCAGCCTTGCCTGTCTTAGTGCTTATTTTATAATTTTACATAGTCTTCGACTAAAGAATATGTATGTGAGACCAGTGCTCCGCTGGCCTGGAACATGGAGAAGAATGCGATGAAGAGAGACTTCGGGGCTGGCTGGTTAGCTTGTTTGATTAGGGTGCATGGGTTTGGATCCCTGTATTGGCCAGCTGCCCAAAAAAAAGAGACTTCAGGATACTAGTGAATGTGTATGGTACCCAGACAGACTCGGTTGGGGGAAATTTTCACTACAAAAGTTCTGCCTCAGTGAGAAGAATAATAGTTCTTCTCATGAATACATTGCTTAGTAGTTTACAAAACACTTTGATGGATGTATTTCCTCATTTGAACCTTGAAACCCTGTGAGGTAAATAGAATAATTATTTCCTCACTTTTCAGTGGAGGAAACTGACTTCAGAGATTATGACTTGCCCATGGTCCCTCAGGTTTCTAGTCTACACTTTTGTATCAACCCATATTGGATAGACTTTCCCAATGACCTTAGATCAAGAGAATGACCAAGGGACTCCCCTTCTTCTTGGCCAGTTCTTCCTTTCACCTGTGTGCTTCCAGGTCAGGGGTAATAAGGTAAGAGGGAACAACCAGAGAAAGTCTTCGTACCTAGACAGAAGGATAATGCAGGGGATGGTTGAATGGTAGTTGTCACAATAGCCAGCACTCCCCTTACCCCTTCTCCTAAGGAAAAAAAGTCACCTTTGAAAGCTCTTGGGTAGGTGAGAAGCACAGTGACACTGTGTCAGTCCATTCTTCCCTCACTGGTGTCTGCTCCTTTGAGCTGCTTAGCATTGCCTCAGCATGACTCAGAGTGCTTCACTACTTGTTTTGTGTTGGCAAATGTTGGTGCGGAAATCCCATTAACCTTACACTTCCATGCTCACATGGCATGAGCATAGAAGCAGCCCAGACTCCTCTGGGCCAAATCCCTCACTGGCACCCAGACTAGGTAAGACTCAAAAGAACAGGTTCTTATACACCTGGGGAAACTTTCAGTTCTGATTCTGCCAGTGCAATCCATTGGAGAAAGCAATGGGAAACTGAGGATGAAAACTGTCCATGGTTGGTGACCGGTTAAATGTACTCTGATACTATAAGTCATGTTTGCACATTGTTTTTGATGTGGCGAATGCTTATGATATAATGGTGAGTGAAAAAAAAAAAAGATACAGAAAACATACAACACAACCACAGCTTTTCACTTTGTTTTTTGAAAATGCAGCAAACACGATGAAGAGCATAAATGAAAATATGTAAGAACCTGTGGCCTTGTGCACGTCATTTAACCACCCTCACCCCACCCCTGGGCCACAAGGTCTTCATCTGTAATATGGATGTAGGAGGGCTGGCTGGTTAGCTCAGTTGTTTAGAGTGCCGTACAAAGTGGGGGTAACGGAATCTGCTTGCTAGGATTGGTGCGAACACGGAATGAGTGAAAACATGCAAAGCCTTTTGCCCAGGGCCTGACACATGGCAGGTTCCCAGGGCTTGGAGCTGCTGTGTTAACAGGGGTGATCACTGTGAGGGACTCATGGGTCACTGCACTTTGTATCTTTCTGTATTTTCTGATTTTGTGCAGTAGACATGCACAGTTATATCAGGAAAAAGAGTTACAGCTCTGTTGATTTTTCTCTCCTCTTTCCTCCCTCTCAAAAAGAAGAGACATAAAGTAGGACTTGAGGGGGACAAGCTAGACCTAGCACTGCCACCACCAGCCCAGTTCTCTCTCAGATCACATTGCTATGTGTCGTTCCAGGTGGCTCCAGCAGATGGCTTCTCTGATCTCGCCATGCAAGTGATGACATCCCCATCAAAGAACTACATTCTCTCCGTGATCAGTGGGAGCATCTGTATATTGTTCCTGATTGGCCTAATGTGTGGACGTATCACCAAGCGAGTGACACGAGAGCTTAAGGACAGGTAGAGCCACCTTGACCACCAAAGGAACTACCTGTCCAGTGCCCAGTTTGTACAGCCCTCCTGTATAGTGTACCCACTCACCTCGCTCTTCTAAGAGGTGACACCAACACCTGTGTTAGAGCAACAGCAAGTGTCCACTGCATTGTCCCATCCAGACTTCGTCTGTGTCCATGGTGTCCTCCTCCTGAATCATTTGTGCAGCAGCAGCAGCTGGCCAATTTGGTGGTTGCCTTTGTTGGCAAACTTGGGTTTACCTGCCCATAGACAAGTCTCTCTCATACCAACAAAACTACCAGTACTTCCAGAACCAACTCACTGACCTGCAACTCAAATGTTTTTTTTAAAAAACCACCAAAAAAAAAAAAAAAGAAAAGAAAATTTTAAAGAAGAAAATGTATATAGTAACATATCTCCTCCAGGCTTCATTTGGACAGTGGGGTTATTTCTTCTGCATGACCAAGTAAAATGAAGGCAGGACTTAGAGGGGAAACATACCACCCAATACGCCTGTAACTGAGATGTCTTGTTCATCTCTCAGAAGTACCTTTGGGCCATGTCAGGGCTATGGACTTCACCAAGTAGTGAGAAAACACTAACAAGCCTGCTTTGGGTCCTGTTTTCTTCTGCTAAAACAGTGATGCCTTCCAGTTCCCACCCTAAATGAGCCACTTCTGGTCACATCCCCAAAGCCATGGTTATTATTATGATTTCCTCACCTCAGTGAAATAAAGCGTGAGCTTTCCTGGGCCAAGGGCAAATTTGTTGGGGAAGGGATCAGAAGTTTGTGAAGCTGGACAGTCCATTGATCTGCACTGAGAGGCTGGATTTTGAGTCCCCAGGCAGCAGAATCCCAGTAACCTTCCTCCTCCAGGATAGTGCAGGACTCAGCCACATCTGGACTGGCCCTACTGATGTAGCAGTTACTCTAGAAGTTCTTTGCTTCACCAAGAGACAGTGACTGTGCAGGGAGGGGTGCTTTAAGACTTGGGTGGGGAGCAGCAGGGCAGGAAGGAGGAACAAGGGTTTGATTCACTTTGTTTTATTTTTCAGGCTACAATACAGGTCAGAGATAATGGCTTATAAAGATTTAGCATGGTTTCAGGATGTGACTGGCAGTCCAACCTGACCTTTCTGCACGCTCCAGGCAAACTTCCCAGACAAGCTCCTTTGTGCCTCTACATGGAGAGGGTGTGGAAAGTTATTACATTAAAAGGTGGAGGATTTTCTCCGTTTTTTTTTGTTTGTTTGTTTCTGTCCATTTGCTGCATGTACCCACTCAAGTAGGCATGGGCTAAAAGTTGTGTTTCGGTGATTCACCAACCTCTCCAGAATCTGAGCTTTATAGAAGCAGTATTTCCGGCCATCCCCCTTTGTTCCTCCAGTGGGGAGATGACAGGTCTGGGGTATGAGGGGGAGGAGTCCAGGCGTCCTGGTTCAACCTGGCACACCTTTGGTTGAGTTTGGGGCACGAGGTCGTAGTGGCTGCACAAGAGGGCAGCATGTACAGTAGGAGATATATTTATATAATATATATTTTATTAACCTGTTAGATTTCCACAAAGTATTATAAATCATGTGCCTAAAACTATCCACATAGACCGAGGCCTGTTCACGGCGCCCTTCCTTCTCCTGCCTCTCCTTTGTGCTGTCCGCGTGTGTTGCCGTACCTGAGCAACATTTGTCTTCCTGAAGTTTGTTCAGGACAGGGCGTGTCAGTTTGTGGATCAGTTGATCCAGATGACTCCTTGTCTAACCTGACTGATGTGTATTTGAATACCGTGGTTTTCTTCCTTTTCTTTCTTTTCTCTTTTTCACTGACCTTCCTGGAGGCAGTGGGTTCCAGAAGTCAGTTATCCCGCCTTCCTAGGGTAATGTAAGTCACCAAGGGGAGCTGCTAAGCTGCTTGGTCCCCTCAGTCCTGTTCATAGGGTCTTCCTGACTCTCAGTAACTGTCATGGGATTCTTCAATCTCATAAAACTTGACACGTTTGGAGTACAAGCAGCACACCCTTATCACCACCACTGGGGGGCGGAATTGAGCTGGTTCAGATATTCCCTCTCCAGTGGTTCCCATCTGGATGGCAGGGGCTGCTGAGCCTTGATATCAGTAAGTGGGAATGTCATCTAGATGCTGGCCTCCACCAACACGTCTGGTGTGGTTTACAGGGTAGGATTAACGTTCACTGTTTAACTCGGGTGGTGGTGTCATTCTCCATGTCTGCAGTCTCCCTCCCAATATAGGTAAAACATCCTTATATTTCTAGTGCTTCTCACTATTTCTGTTCTTTCTAAACTGAGAGAAAATCCCATTAGTTGTGTGCAGCAGATTTGGAAGTTTGATGAGGAGTTTAGTTCTTGAAATATTTGTCATCTTTAGAAAAAAAGGTCAGAACAGAAAGAATGACTCTGCCGGTATCTTCAGTTGCTTGTTACAGGAAAGTCTTTCATCAGCCTACTTGGAGTAGTTTCCTGTGACTGGCTTTTGAGAGTCAGGCAGGGTCCCGAGCAAGTTTTTCTAAGTCCAAGGGGCCCAGCACCATCTGAACTGGCTGCCCGACCACATCCATTCAGTACCTCATTTGGCATAACAAAATAGGTTCTGGGAACCCCTGTTTCCTGGCCTCATAGTTTGATCAGACTGTAAATCAGCTAGTCAAAACTAGTCTGGAAGAGGAACTGTGACCCTAACGTAGGAGCTGATGGTGGACTCTGGCCTTTATCTCTTCTCCTGATGTCTAGCCCACAAACAATAATATAAATAGTGGGTAGGGTTTTTTGCCAAGGCTAAGGCTCCAGGCACTTGCTGAAAATTACAGCAGCTGGTCACTGTCATCTGGCCTTGCCCTTTCATACCAGTGTCTCGGGGACTCTTACACCCAGTGTGCTCCACAACCCTCCAGAGGCACCGGGAGTCCAGGCTCCTGAGCTGGAGGCACTGTAGTACAGGAGATAGAAGTCTGGGCAAAATGTCAGGAACAAGACTAATAGCTCCCTCTAATGGAGCTTCTCCCACAGAAGGGGAGCTCTGTGAGTGAGACCTTTACTTTGGTACATCCCTGTACTTCCTCTGCTGTTGCTACTGTCCCAAGACAAGTCTGCTACCAAGATGCACCAACTCCAAAGGCTTGGGCTTGCTCCAGGAAATCCTTCTTTCTCTGCGTTCCCTGGAGACCCTCTGGCTACCACTCCCAGCTCCAGCTCTGTGTATCCAGTCAGCTTGTTCTGAGCCAGTGCATCCTTAGAAGCTAGGAGAATTCTAGGACTACCGATGAACTAGTATTTAATGAGCAGGTGTTGACTTGAACTCATTGCAGGCCTTCGGCCATCTCATCCTGCACTCACCCTTCTCGGGCACAGGGAGCAGCTCAGTCGGGGGAGGCAGGGGTGCAGTGCGGGCAATGGCGAGGCCATCTGCGTTCACGTTTTACGTTTTATTAGACAAACTGGAAAGGGAATTATGTGGCTGACTTCCTGTGACCTTCTGAAGAGAAGAGTCACTCTTATGTATCAGTGTGACATTTGGGAATATTTCCGTCCTCCCCACCTCCAGGCTTGTGGGCTGCCTTTGTCCCAAAGATTCCTACTATCGTGTATCGTCCAGGGAGCGGTGGGTTATTCCATGGGGACTCCTTTCTTAACTGGTCTCGGGTCTCTCTGAGAGACCTTTCCTATTTCTTCCCCTACTCCATCACAAAAATAAACATTCTCCATGTAGAACTTATTCTAAGTCAGCAGATATGGAGCACGAAGCTGGACTAGGAACGCTCAGAAGTGAGCCAACCCAGCCTAGCGCATCCACCCTAAATTTTGGCCATAGAACCAAAAGAAGAATATGGCTTTTTGAATTATGTACATTGTGGTATGTTTACTTGTATTTCACCTTCTTAGGAATTAGAAAAACCTCAGAGATGAGAATACTTCCTTTTGTTTCTCACCATTTGGGCAGTACCTGAGTAGTTTTCTAAAATGCATCATTCTAGTGTCATGAGTTCCTCTTGGGCCTTTAGGGACACTCCTCTCCTAACTCACCTCTTCACCATTGGGATTTGGTTTCCAAAGGGCCTGGGGCTGGATCTAGTGTTCTGGCCCGCCCTTCCCTCCCACTTGTCTTTGCTTTGCCATCCCTCTAGCCACACTCCTTCTTGGTCCTCCTCCGTCACTAGGACCAGCGTCACATTTTAGGACAATCCAGTTTGAAGCCAGATCCCCCTTCCTACCCAGACCTCACACAACAGATAAGTCATTAGCAAACCCAGATGTAATCTTCAGGGTTACACACTCCCCCAAGCCATCTGGTAATATCTCTGTGGGGACCCAGGGACTGTTTATCACCTGTTAGCACAAAGATGAGGCTGTCCGCTCAGGCTAGTGGTGACAGGGTCCTGACAGGTGGTCTCCTCTCCCTGCCCCTTCCCATGATTGGCCATGACACATGGGTAGGATGTCGGGCTCTGTGCAAGGAGAAATCTTCCTTGGCAAGGAGAAAGTTCAGACAGTGCCTCTATATTTTTTTGCCTGCCCCCCCAATGTAGAATTGACACCTGACCCAGAGCCCAGCAGGGCCCTCTGCCAGACGTGCCAGGGTGGTTTGAGCAGGCTCCCCAGGTCAAACTGCAGTAGAGTGGTGGAGGGGCCAGTGGGAGAGCTGGCAGCAGGAAGGCTTCCTGAGCGGATTCTCTCAGCACAATGTTCCGAGGTCAGTCCAAGCAGGAAAACAGACTGTACAGCAAATGCTGTGTGAGATCTTAGGCCTTTAACTTTTTTTTTTTTGGAAAGAAAGAAAAAAGAAAAGTACAATTAACTAGCCTCTTTTGTAAATGGGTTTCCTTTCTATGTATAAAATGCCATCAGTTCCTTGTTTTTACATGTTCATGCTGTGTAATTTTGAGATGTTACTGAAATTCTGAACATAATGTGCATTTTTTTCTGTACAGATGAAATGGGAGAATTTAATAAAGAGTTTGCAGGTTTTTACTTGTTAAATTATCTCTGTGGTGACTGGGAGGAATCTCCAACCACCTGCTCTGCTAGTAGAAGTTTATGAAGCTATAGGCAATGACAGTGAACTTGCCAACTGATGCTCACAAACCTTGTTGATCAGGTCTTGAGCTCCAGGCTGATTGGGTCCAGCAGAGTAGGACAATAGGACTTTTAGAGGAAAGGGGACTTCGGTCCGCTTGTTTTCTGTATGCTAGTGGCAGAGCTACAAGTCCCCATTGGGGTTCTCTGACCCTTGGTCTGATGTGTCCAGAATTATTTGTTCTGCTGATATGTTTAAGCCCACATCATGAGGCTGCATCCTGGGAAGAGTACATACCTGAAACCTCTCCTTATGGGTCCGACACGTGGATGGCTGGCCCTGAGAGAAGCACCTGGTCTCCAGTGGCCACTCTTCCCACTCAGCCCCTTGTCAGTGCCCTCCTGTGTCCTCTTTTACTCAGTTCTCTCCATTCCAGCAGCGCAGTCCCTGGGTCAGTGGTCTGCACTGGAAACTTCCTGAGCCTTTTGTTCTGCTTCTCCCCATCTCGGCAAAGCTAATTTGCATCTGGGTGTTAAAAATTAATAGCTTAAGGAATTTGCATGGTAGCAGAGATTTCTTGAAGTATGTAAATTAAAAGGAAGTTTTTTACCTACTAGATGAGCAAAGATTAAGAAAGATTAACTTGCAGAGTAGGAGAGGGTTTGGGCAAACAGGCAGTCTGGTACAGTTTGTTGGTGAGAGTGTGATCACAATAGTCTTTCTTGAGGGCTATTTGGCAGTACCTATCAGGACTAAGTCATAATACTACCTGATCTAGAAATTCTGTTTCCATAAATATATCCTATAAAAATAATTGAACTCATGTATATTGGAATATCTACAAAGATAATCATTATAACAATCTTTGTATTAATGAGAAATTAAACAACCATATTAGAGAAGAGGTTAAATTTTAAAATGAGACACCATATGATGCAATACTATGCAGCCCTTTAAAAGGAAAATGTAGAACTTCATTTCTGGGTAGGATAGAGAAGCTTGCAGCTGAACAATGCTCACAATGAGAATAACTAGAAAAGGTAGAGAAACAGATGATATCTATGGTTTAAGTGAGTTGCAGAAGCATCGATGACCACAGGGTTAAGATTGTGGAGAGGAGAGCTGACAATCTGTAGCCACTTGCCTTCACTGACACTGGCCACAGGGTGAGAATCCATGCTTTCCCCAGGCAGAGAACTGAAGGTGGGAGAAAGAGACATTTGCAGAGTATTTTATACCTCAGCCAGCTGGAATGACAAAATTGAAGGCCTAAGGGGCTTCAAATAGATGGCCAGTTCTTAAGCCACTTGCTGAAGTCTGAAAATGTACGAGATGGGGACCTAAAAAGCTAAGCCCAAACCTCTGTATAGCAGAGCAGCATTTTGCAGAATTACAGTGCTGAGAAGATAGAGTTCAAGATCTCTCAAAAGGAGAGACCCTGGTGAATGCATCAGGATTTCCATCGAAAGCCTTGGAGAGCTAGGCCCTAGGAACAAAGGCAAGTGAGAAGTAGATGGAACACTGTTAAAACTACATTCCATACACTTTCAACTGATAAATTTAGAAGGAATTAGGGAATTAGGAAATCATCATTTGACAACCATTCATAGTAATAATTGTCTCAGGCAAGACACATCAGTGAATGATAGAACTAATGGATGTAAGTTGGGGGGTTTTGTTTTGGTTTGATTTTTTGTGTTTTGAGAATAGGGTATTCACATATTCTCAGAGTACCTTTCTTACTTGTTAACTACAAAGAAGGGGAAAAAAAGTAATTTACGGTGGAGAGACCTGGCAGACACAGCTTAACCACATGATAGATGTTAACATCACCAGGAATGGGACAGAGACATCATGCACCTCCTGAGATAATGCAGTGAGAACACAACATCTTTCTGTTGTATTCCTTTCCAAAATGCATAGCTGGAGTCTAATCATGAGGAAACATCAGACAAACCCAAACTGAGGGACGTTCTACAAAGTTACTGCCTGTACTCTATTGTGAAAGATGAGGACTAAGGAACTATTTTGGACTAAAGGAGACTAAAGAGACATAATAACTAAATGCAATGTGTGATCCCAGGTTGGACCCTGGGACAGAAAATGTTTTATTTTGCTCTAAAGAATATTGGTGGGACAATTGGTGAAATTTGAATAAGATATATAGACTAAATCATATTTTATCAATGTTAATTTCCTGATTTTGATCATTGTACTGTGTTTGTAAGAAAATGTCCTTATTTTTAGGAAACACCAACTGAAGTACTTAGGGATACAGAAGGACATCTTGTCTGCAACTTAAAATGTTCAGAAAAAAACAAGATAGAGGGGGCTGGCCCGTGGCACACTTGGGAGAGTGTGGTGCTGATAACACAAAGGCCAAGGGTTCAGCAGGTTAGCTCACTTGGGAGATGGCAGGTTAGCTCACTTGGGAGAGCGTGGTGCTGACAACACCAAGTCCAGGGTTAAGATCCCCTTACTAGTCATCTTTAAAAAAAAGAAAAGAGTGGGCCGGCCCGGTGGCGCACTGCTACAGTGCGCCGCTTGGGAGTGTGGCGGTGCTCCCGCCGAGGGTTCGGATCCCATATACAGACCGGCCGCTCACTGGCTGAGCGAGGTGCGGGCGCAACACCGAGGGTTGCGATCCCGTTGCCGGTCCCGGTCCGGTACAGGCGCAACACCGAGGGTTGCGATCCGTTGCCGGTCACGAAAAAAGACAAAAAGGAAAAAAAAAAAAAAAGAAAAGAAAAGATAGAGAAGATGATAAATCATATGTAAAATGTTAACATTTGGGGGAATCTAGGTGAAAGGATACAGGAATACTTTGTCATATTTTTGCATCTCTTCTGTAAATCTGAATTTATTTCAAAGTAAAAAGTTAAAAATTAAATTAGCACAACTTGCTGGCTAGCTCAGTTGGTTAGACTGTTGTGCTAACACCAAGGCCCAAGGTTCGATCCCTGTACCAACCAGCCACCAAAAAACCCCATTAAATTAGCATCACCAGTAAAGGGCAGGGCAAAATGGACATCATGTACCTCCAGTTTTGATTCCCTAAGAAAGACAGATGTAGTGTGATATTCAAAAATTCATAAACTGAATCTAAACATTTGGAAACCACAAACATCAATTGAGAAACATCCTATAAAATAATTGGCCTGTATTATTTTTTAAAAATGTCAAGATCATTAAAGACAAAGGTTAAAGGTTCCAGATTAAAAGATTAGCTAAAGAAAGGGCCGGCCCATGGCTCACTCGGGAGAGTGTGGTGCTGATAACACCAAGGCCACGGGTTCAGATCCCATATAGGGATGGGTGGTTTGCTCACTGGCTGAGTGTGGTGCTGACAACACCAAGTCAAGGGTTAAGATCCCCTTACCGGTCATCTTTTAAAAAATAATAATAATAATAAAAAATAAAATAAACAAATATAAATAAATAAATAAATAAAAGATTAGCTAAAGAGACATGATGACTAAATGCAATTTCCCCCTTGATTCTGTACTGGGCGAAATTTTGCTACAGAGGATATTGGGGCAATTGATGAAGATGGAATATGAATTGTAGATTAGATAAGAGTGTTGTATCTGGATTTGATCACTGTAATGTGGCTGTGTATAAGAATGTCCTTGTTTTTAGGAAACGTTGAAGTACGGGGTATGTGGCATGATGTATGCAACTTATTCCCAAAAGGTTCATAAAAGTGTGTATGACAGAGAGAGTAATGTGTAAAATATTAAAAACTAGTGCATCTGGGTTAAAGATGTATGGGAGTAATTTGAACTAGTCTTTTCTGCAAGTTTGGAATTTTTTCAAAATAAAAAGGGTTTTTTTAAGTCATTTTTTTTTTCTTAAGAAAAAGGGAAATGACTGCATCCAACCTTGATTCAGGTCATGCTCTGATTGGTAATGAGCCTCCACTACCTCTCCCTAGCAGAGAATAGAGTGAACCTTCTCTGGTGGAATATAACATCATTGGGAGTCTGCAAATTTTTATGTACAATATCTGTCACTCATTCAGAAATGTTGGCTATTTTAGGTGTCATGGACTGATGTTTGTGTCCCAAATTCATATGTTGAAACCGTAACCCCCAATTGTGGTTATATTTGGAGATGGGATCTCTAAGGAAGTAATTAAGGTTAAATGAGGTAATAACGGTGAGCCCTGATCCAATAGGATTAGTGTCCTTATAAGAGACACCAGAGTGTTTGCTCTTTCCTCCGCGTGCACACAGAGAAGTTATGAGCACTCAGTGAGATGGCAGCCACTTGTCAGCCAAGAGAAGAGGCCTCAGAATTAAAACCTATGTTGCCGATACCTTCATCTTTCCAGCCTCCAGACTGAGAAACTTCATTTCTGTTGTGTAAGCCACCCAGTCTGTGGCATTTTGTTATGGGACACCACTCAGACTAAGACATAAGGAGACAGAGTCAGATGAGGGAAACCCAAGAGAATAAACAAAACAAAAAATAGGGCCGGCCCATGGCTCACTCGGGAGAGTGAGGTGCTGATAACACCAAGGCCACGGGTTCAGATCCTATATAGGGATGGCCGGTTCGCTCACTGGGTGAGTGTGGTGCTGACAACACCAAGTCAAGGGTTAAGATCCCCTTACTGGTCATCTTTTAAAAAAAATAAAAATAAAAATAGATCCTCAGATAATCCAGTTATTAATGTTAGCAGATAAGATAATTAAAAATTATGATTAATATGTTCAGGAAAACATGAAAATAGGGATAAAATAGATGGAGAATTTCCACCAGAGAATTGGAATTCAACTTAAAAAATCAAGTGGATGTTCCAGAGCTGAAAAATGCATTATCAGAAGTGGAAACTGAATGGATGGGTTTAACAACAGATGGTACTGTTTACAGAGTAATATTAGTCAATAAAAAATACCTAGACTCGGGCCGGCCCGGTGGCGCACTGGATAGTGCGCCGCTTGGGAAGCGCGGCGGCACT